CACGACCCTCTGTGTGAAAATGTTGCCCCTCAGGTCCTTTTTAAATTTTTCCCCTCTCACCTTAAATCAATGCCCTATAGTTTAGGACACCTCCATCCTAGGAAAAAGACCTTGTCTATTCACTCTATCCATGCCCCCCTGACTTTATAAACCTCTATAAGGTCATCCCTCAGCCTCTGACACTCCAGGGAAAATAGCCCCAGCCGATTCAGCCTCTCCCAATAACTCAAACCGTTCAACCCTGGCAAAGTCCCTGTAAATCTTTTCCGTGCCCTCTCAAGTTTATCAACATCCTTCCTATAGAAGGTGACCAGAATTGTATGCAGTATTCTAAAGGTGGCCTCACGTCCTGTACAGCTGCAGCATGATGTCCAACTCCTATATTCAATGTTCTCACTAATGAAGGCAAGCGTGCCAAATGCCTTCTTCACCACCCTGTCTACCTCTGACACCACTTTCAAGGAACTATGCACTTGCATCCCTAGGTGTCTTTGTTTGGCAACACTCCCCAGGGCCTTACCATTGATATGAGTTCTGCCCTAGTTTGCCTTACCAAATGCAACACCTTGTATTTATCTAAATTAAACTCCATCTGCCACTTTTCTGCTCATTGGCCCATCTGATCAAGGTCCTGTTGTACTCTGAGATAACCTTCTTCATTGTCCACTACACCTCCAATTTTAGTGTCATCTGCAAATGTACTAATCATATCCCCTATGTTCACATGCAAATCATTTATATGAATGACCACAAACCACTATTAATTCCACAGGGAGAGCAAAACGATTTTACCATATGAGAAGCTGTGGATATTGTGAATCAAGATGTCATCAAGCCCGCAATCCCCAAATTTTTTTTGGACATGATTATCAAGAGAGAGCCTTGTGGTCAAGAGGTACCATCCCTTACCTCTGAGCCAGGTTTGAGTCCCACTCCACATCTTGATGCCAAGGATGTGTCCATAATGAGGCCAAGCAGGTTAAGAATCAACTTGTAAATTCTTCCAGCAGATTTAGATTTGGATTTTATTGTCCGCAATCTCATCTTTAATGATACATTCTAAAATCTTATTAATGACCGAGGTCAGGCTAAATGGCCTGTTCTTTTCTGTCTTCTTCCTCCCTACCTGATTAAACAAGGGTGTAATATTAGCCAGGAGGTCGATGGATGACCTTATAGAACTTTATAAAGTAATGAGGGGTATAGATTAGGTGAATAGCAGGGATCTTTCCCCTGGGGTGGGGCAATTCAAAACAAGGTTTTTTTTTACACAGAGTGGTTTGTTTGAGGAATGAACTGCCAGAGAAAGTGGTGGAGTTTGGTACAGTCACAGCGTTTAAAAGACATTTGGAGAAGTACATGAATAGAAAAGGTTTGGAGGGATATGGGTCAAATGCAGGCAGATGGGACTGGTTTAGTTTTGGAACATGGTTGGCATGGACTTGTTGGACCGAAAGGTCTGTTTCCATGTTGTATGACTCTATGACATTGTAAACCTTCTTTAGCATCTAATAAACCTCAAATAGATCTCCTCTCAATCTTCTCAACTCCAGATAGTATAGGCTTAAACTGCTTAATCTCTCTTCACAAGACAAACCCCTGATCTCTGGAATTAATCTAGTGAACCATCTCTGAACTGCCCCCCATGCAATTACACCCTCACACCACGTAAGTCAGATTCACACACATTTCAGTGCTCAGACTTCTGTAAAATTAACTCATGTCAGATGGATTGTGTTATTCAAACCACAAGGAGCACTAATTCTGCTAAATGAAACTTGACAAATAAATGACTTTTAGAATATATGACAGGCAAATATCAGCAGTTGAGTTTGATGGATTTTGTAAGCTTCAGTGGTGTGATTCTTTTTCTGGTGTTGAACACTTCAACTGTACACATTAGCAATACATGGAATAAAGCAGCATTCTAAAAATTCTGAAAAAGAGTCAAGTTAGTCTGGAAACATTAACTTTGTTTCTCTCCCCACAGATAGTGCTGAGTTTCTCTAAAACTTTCTGCCTTTATTGAGAACTATTGCTTACAGCTGTACAACTCTCAATCCTCATAATTCATGGATGCACTTTTAAAATGTAAACAAAGCTGCTAGCAGGCTCTGTGAGGAGGTTATAAGTGTACAGGAGGTAAGCTGCAAGGATTAAAGGTGACAGACTCTCCAAATCAGGGACAGTCCCACTTTAAGAGAAGCCCCGCCCCCACGCCTGGGCGCGACCATTTCTGCAGGGGCGGGGGGGGAGTTGGGAAGTGAACGGCCGGTTATCGCGAGAGCGGCTCAGGCCAAGATGGCGGAAGGTAGGAGCTGTCGGTGCCGCGGCTTCGTTGGGTGAGGGGGAGGGAACCGTGCTGGCTGGCGCGGGCCGCAGGGGCATAGCCTGTGGTCCCCAGGCTCCAGGCCCGGACACACTGGACCGCTTGTGGTGACCAGGCCTGGCTTCAGGCTTATCCCGAGCTGGAGTGGAGAGTGACCCCACCCCTATCCAGTCCCTACCCTTTCCCAAATCTTCCCCCACCCCCCCCCCCGGGGCCGTTCCTACCCTTTCCCGTCCCTCCCCCCACCCCCTCCATGGGGGTCATTGCGTCTCTGTCTGTCCAACCCCCCACCCCCTCCATGGGGGTCATTGCGTCTCTGTCTGTCCAACCCCCCACCCCCTCCATGGGGGTCATTGCGTCTCTGTCTGTCCAACCCCCCACCCCCTCCATGGGGGTCATTGCGTCTCTGTCTGTCCAACCCCCCACCCCCTCCATGGGGGTCATTGCGTCTCTGTCTGTCCAACCCCCCACCCCCTCCATGGGGGTCATTGCGTCTCTGTCTGTCGTCTTCTTGTCTTGTCCCGTACCTTGTCCATAGGTTCTTTGTTCCCCCTCTCTACTACTGTGGGGACATCTCTGTATTTACTCCCAGTGCCACATACTTGTGAGAGTGGAGAAAGAAAGATGTAGAAGGTTAATGCCTGGCTTGAGATGAGATGCCTTCACCCTCTTGGGTCCTTGAGACCATTTGAGTAACAGGGGGCAATTCATCCAAAGAGATGGGTTTAACCTCCATAGTTCTGGGACCAATATCTTTGCAGAGTGACTTACTAGTATGGTTAGGCAGAATTGAAACTAAATTTAGAGGGAGGCTGGCAACCAACAGAAAATAGGAATAAATTGAATAAAATAGTGTTGAGTTGTACCAGAGAAGGGAGCAGGCTGAAGAAGTGCTGAGCAACACACAAAGTAAGCTCTCTGGTGAATCAAGTTAGTGATCTACAAGCACAAATTGCCTTGTGGGTATCTGATAAAGTAGTAGGTGCGGAACTGTGGCTTAAAAATGATCCTTGGTGCTTCAAGGAGATAGTGTTCAGCAAAAACAAATGAAAAAAGGGAGATGGAGTGGGAGTATTGATTATAACTTTAGAAAAAGGTGACCTCCTTGAAGTATTGAAGTATCCATCTAGTTCGAGCTGAGAAACAAGACTGTGATCGTTCTTCACGTCTTTAGTGAGAGAAATAAATCTGATGTGGGTAAAAGGGAACTTTTAATTACTTGAGTATTGACTGGGGTAAAGAGTAAGGTTGGGGAGGGATCTCTGAAATGGTTCAGCCCAATGAGAAAGGATGTGTTATGGTAGCCAGGAGTCTGTAGGGAGCTCTTTGGCATGTGTGATTTTTGGATTGTAAGGTAATGGAGAAGAGTGAAGAACAATAGAAGTAAACACTTAAATTGGCAGTGGGCTTGGTGATGTTGGCAGATGACACTGGTTGACCTAGGGTAAAATGATCAAGAACTGACAGAAAATATGGCCTACTTCTCAGGAGATGTTATAGGCTAGGTACATTCTAATGAAGCTGAAAAGGGAGGGGAGCCAAGTTGAAGGCCATTTATATTGCAAGGGGATGCTAAATAAAATCATTTTAAAAAAAAAAAAAGTCACACCCTTGAACTTGCACCCTGTCAAGCTAATTTGGAAAAGATCAACATTCCATTACTCTTGTCAGAATCTTGGAACTTCTTTCCCTATAACACTGTGGGTGCAACTGCAGGTTTTGCTTTTAGGCTCGAAGACTGTTTCCCCACTTTCTCAAAGGTAGTTGAAGATGGGCTGAAAGAAAATACTGGCCTTGCCGGTTGTGATTTCTTCCAAGAATAGATATGAAATAAACACAGGCCCTGACTGATTTATCATCACTATGGTTATTCTTTCTCTTGCACTAGTAGTAGGTGGCTGTAATGACAATGGAGTTTGGAATTTTAACCATCATTGTGTATTTAATTACATAGAACTTAACATACCAACCATTTGACCAACTGCTCTGTGCCGACAGTACATTTTACGTAAGTCTCTGCCCATCTTTTTTCATCTCGCTATCAGCATATCCTTCTTTCCTTACTCCCTCGGATATCTAGCTTCCCTTTAAGTGCATCTGTACCCTTCACTTCAGCCACTCCCTATGAGTGAAACAAATGTGCCAAAAATCATTATTTTAGTTAATGATTGCCTTATCTTCATAGGCCTTAACTTTGGTTGTGGGTTTGGAAGGTTTTGCGCTGCTGCAGTGAAACTTTTAGTGCTTGCTGCTGCCCCTATGCACAGTGTGAGGCTAATAAATGTTTTAAAGTGATAGTGGGCTTCTTTGTTCTGTGTCAAACTTATTGTGTTGTTGGAGCTGTACTTAGCTGTGTGAATGCAGAATCCATTACACTCCAGACCTGTGCCTTGTACATGGTGGACAGGCTTTGGGAATTCTGGAGGTGAGTTATTTGCTGCAGAATTCCAGCCTCTGACCTGTCCTTGTATCACACTTCTTATATGGCTAGTGGAGTTCTGTCCTGGTCATTGGTTGTATGATGATGGGTGATTGTGTTGGGAATGCCATGAACATCAAAGGGCAATGGTCAGACTCACTTTTGGCAATAGTCGCTGCCTGGCACTCATTGTAAATATTGCTTTCCACTTATTAGCCCCCAGCTTGAATGTCAATACATAACAAGATCTGGACAACAATGTTAAGCAGTGTTTCTGACTCCTTAAACACGAACAATGTGTATGTGTGTGTCTATTCCTGCTTCTGATGTTGTAGTGCAGGAAAGATAACTGAAGCATCTGAAGATGATTAGGCCTAGGGCATTACGCTGAACAATTCCTGCTGAGATGACCTGGAGCTGAAATGACTGACTCCTAACAACCACAACCACAACCATCTTCCTATGTGCTGAGTATGACTCAAACCAGCAGAGAGTTTGCTCCCTGATTCCGATTGACCCTAGTTTTACTCGAGCTCCTTGTTGCTCCACTTGGTCAAATGCAATCTTGATGGTCAAGGACCTTCACGCTTGCCTCCCCCTCTGGAATTCACCTCTCTGTGTTTGGACCAAGATTGTGATGAGGGTCAGGTGCTGAGTGATGTTGGCAGATCCTAACTTGAGTGTCAGTGGGGAAGTTATTCTGAGCAGGTTCTGCTTGGTGATACTGATTAGGATCCCTTTCATCACTTTGATCATGAGTAAAGTAATGGGCCAGTAATTGACTGGGTTGGTTTCATCTTGCTTTTTGTGGTCAGGATGTAAAAGGCAATTGTCCACATTGTTGGGCAGATGGCCGTGTTGCAGCTGCACTTGTGCAACTTGCCTGGGGGCTTGGCTTGTTAAGTATTGTCCTAGGGTATTATTGGGGGGTTATAGACTTTGTACTCAGTGCCTTCAGCTGTTTGTTGATAACGGCACAGCATGATTGGGATGGGGTTCCTGACTGCTGTACATTAGTCTCTACTGTACAGTGTGTTTAATATCAGGGTGGGGCTGGAACCCAGTTTAGTTGTGAAGCCCATCTCGGCCAAATATCTGCCTTTGGGATCATGTGTGATTGTTCATGGTGCCTGCTGTCCCAGCAGGGCATTTTGGAATCAGAATGTTGGTGGGATTTCTGGCTGTGTACATGGTGTCTGTGTTCTGTTGAATTTAATCTTGTTGGTACCAGGGCAGATGTACAGTGCTGCTAAGCTGGTTTTGGCATCAAATGGGGATGCTGATAAGTTGTTCCATTGATTGTTTTCTCGCTGATTCCGAGGCACAAGAAGGGGATGTGGGATTGAACTTCATACTCACTGCTGCTCTGCAAGCATGAACAAATCACTGAAATAAAAGCACAATGCTGTGGATGCTGGCAATCTGCAACAACTGTGGAAAATGTTGAAGAAACTTGGCATTGATGGTGAATGGGTGCAGTGAGAGAGAGAGAGAGTTTCTCCAGTGTTGTCTGTTTGTGGTGAATCATTGGCACTAATCCAGTCAGTCCCTTGGGTATGTAGATGTTGTTACACCTGGGGTGAGCTGCATCTCTGATTTCTTTCTGGTTTGGGTTTTGTTCTCGAAGCTTAGTGGTCAGAGATGCAATGGGTGTGGGAGTCCCATTTTCAGTCCTGATTAGACTGCAGACTGAACAGTCCTCTCCTCCACTCCATATTATGAACGGATTGTAGAAGCAGGATGGTTTCAGGCAAAATAAGATTGACTAGGATATTGTATTAACGCATGCTTGGCTCTGTTGATCTGCATCCCACCCCCATCTCCCAATCAAGATTTTGTAAACTGGAGTGTATTTCAAGGAGGACAGTGTGAGGATTCTGCGACAGCCAAGTAGTCATTTTTGTGAATTTCTCAGTACCTTGGTGTGGGCACTTCTATACATTGCGATTGGTTTCCATATGTGTCAGGTACCCACTTTAGAAAATAAGTACCCGAACAAGATAAGGGGATTCACTGGGTAGCGTTTGAACCACGAATGAGTGTTCTTTGGGTTTGAGGGGCCATGGTGATTGTGGTTGAAGTCTTTATGATGCAGTGAGCAGTAGCAATTCCTTACCCACTGGGTTCTTGGGAGAGCTGGGGTAGTGAGGGGGCTTGTAGCTGGAATTCCTGTGCTAACTCCTTTCTTAATTTGCACATGGAATTGGACTGATGGTTTGAACCTAACGGACTAGGGGACAACTGCTGATTTATTTGGAAAACTCTGTTCCCTCTATGCCGAAGATGATAAAACATCTTTACTGACCTAGTTAGTCTGTAGCAAGCAGTGCAACAAATTGGATATTATTAATTTCATAAAATAACAAAACTAACAAAATTAAAATAATGGAACTGACAATGTGAAATTCACATTAAAGCTATTTAGCAAAGGCATTTTAAGTTCTCCTAGCACGAGGGCCTGTTAGTTACTTGTCATTTATGTTTGTTTGTTTCATCTTCTAACCGAGTTCTTGTGCCATTTGATAGAGGAGGTTGCTAAGCTGCAGAAACACCTGGCACTTCTCCGTCAGGAGTACGTGAAAATGCAACAGAAGCTGGCAGAAACGGAGAAGAGATGTACTATGCTCGCAGCCACATCTACCGTAGAAAATTCCAGTGACTCCTTTGTTTGCCGACTTCTGTCTATTGTGTCTGAGCTTTATCAGCAAGAACAATACAGGTAAATCTTGTATATGGTGAAGATTAATGTATTGACTTGGCCTGTGATAAGGTATTGGATGTTGGGACGTAACCAGGTCTGTTAAACTGATGATACAAACCACAAACTTTTTATTAACCGGCACCTGTGGGTCTAGGAATGTACCAGTTGATCAAGAGGTCCACATAATCAGTGTAAAAACACACAGTAAGCAATAGAAATATAATGCAAGGGGTATATGCATCACTTTTATCCTTTTATTTACAGCATTAATCACTGAAATAATAATCCAACTTTGCCTTAAAACTTACTGGCAGAGAGTTTTCTCAACCTTGCACCTTCAACTGACTACTTGGAGATCGAAATAATAGTTATACACCTCAGATACCAGATATTTAATTTTTGCCAGTTTGTCGCGAGTGCTGGCTCATAAGATGCCAGTTAAAACAAAGTTTGCTGTACTATTGACTCTAATTGAGTTGTCAACTAGATTTCCTTTTTTTGTAAAAATCATAAGTTGACCATTGATGTCGGAATATCTAAATTCAAACAATGGTGCTATAATCCTTTGCCTCCAGCTCATCTGCTCTGAATGGGACTGCCTCTCCTCTCAGCAAACAGCACTCTTAATGAAATGCATCCTTTTTCAGACTTGCTAGTTGGCCTGTGATCCCACAAAATAAACAGGTTGAGTAATTAATTCTGGAAGGTATAGTGATAAGTATTTTTGATTGTAAATGCTTCGATTATGATCATAAATTCTAAAGTTGTCTGAATGTTTACTTTGTACCTTTTTAATCATTGCAGTTAATTTCCACTTAATAGATCACAATTTAGTGTCTTTTATAAGAGGACTGTAGGAATGTCCATTTTAAAAGATGGGGAAAAACAGAAGGAAGAGTGCTTTTATTTGTTTTGCACTCATTTTCATAAAGTTGAAGTAAGAATGTTCAGCAGCTTTTCTGCCCTCCTGACTGTGAACCCTACCAGGAATCATCAGGCAGCAGTAGGAATATTAGCGTTTTTAAAAGATTTATTTTATGACCAAAGATTCCTGTATGGCTTTCTATATTGTCTTGATTAGGTATACGTTCACAGCAAATAAGTGGGCACAAATGTATTCTACACAAAGGAATATCCCTGTAGGACATTGTGGGAAGTGTTTTTCTTTCTGGATTTATAAATTTAGTCAATTGTGGGACGACGATTTTGTATTTTTCCTGAAACCTACTTCCATTTAAAGTATTGGCAAAGATCTGTAGCTCTGGTTGTGGGTGAGGTTGTTGACTTGCTCACCAAGCTGGCTTGTTTTTGTTCAGACGTTTCGTCACCATGCTAGGTGACATCATCAGTGGAACCTCCGATGAAGCGATGTTATTCTACTCCGCTTGGAATTTACACTGTCCAGTCCGATATGGTGAGTGCTGTCATTTCTGGTTTTGATGAACCCATACAGATCATAACTGGAAATGACGGTACTCGCCATAATGGACCGGACAGTGTAAATTCCAAGCGGAGTAGAATAACATTGCTTCATCGGGGGTTCCACTGATATCAGCATGGTGCCGAAACGTTTGAACAAAAACAAGTCAGCTCAGCGAGCAAGTCAACAACTTCAACTTCATCATCCATTCACTTCAGCTAACGGAAGTAGAAGTCTACTTCAGAACTGGCTGCGCACCAGCAGTGCCACTTAATGAACCTCAGCTCTGACTTGCAAACAAATCCTTGCATTTCTTGGTGTTTTTTCTTTTATCACTTACTTTCCTCTCTTAGGTTGTGTTTTTCAGGCAATAGATCCTTAAATATGGTTGTTTTATACGGTAAAAACATGGACTTTGATTTTACCTTTAGCTCTTTACAGCAGAATTTTTTTCAATTTTTTAAGGTGTCGATTGCACAGCATTAGATATGCAGTAATAATTCATAGAATCCCTATGGCATGGAAAGAGGCCATTCAGCCCATTGAGTCTGCAATGACCCTCCAAAGAGCATCAAACCCAGACCCAGCTGCCCCATCCTATCCTCAAAACCTCACGTTTCCCATGGCTAACCCACCTAGCCTGCATATCCCTGGACAATTTTTAGCACAGCCAATCCACCTAACCGGCACACCTTTTGAACTGTGGGAGGAAACTGGAGCATGTGGCAGAAATCAATGTAGTTTGTTAGGCTCATTACTCTGTTTGGCTCTCTGTTTTGGGGGGAAAGTAAAGATATGTTTGGGGATCAAACAAAGGATCTAAAAGAACAGTAAAAGGCAGGGGAGAGAGTATCTAAAGTAAATTAACAGCTAACAACCCAAAGTCTTTTATAAATGCAAACAGTGCAAGTGAGTACAGGGCTAATTTAGGATCATAAAGGAAATTATCAAGAATTAACAAAGGGTATTGATCAGGACCAAAGTTAATTACTAGTTCATATAGTCTACATAAATCTGAGTTTTTTTTTAAAAAAAATTATTACAGACCTATCCTGTTTGAACTTGGTTGAGTCCATTGAAATAACAGACAATTGATGAGGGTACTATATTTGAAGTATATGTGGACTTTCAATTAATATTTGGCAAAATGGGTTTGTTTTCCTTTTCAGCAGAGAATGCTATGATAAGAAAATATTGGAAGTGTTCAGGTCTGCCAGGATCTGTGAAATGGGAGAAAAAGTTAAAATTTCTGGACCCTGAGTCTTTGTCAGAACTTCTGGGTATCTGATGTAAGGATTCTAAGATAAGTGCTTGACCTGAGGAGTTAACTGTGTCTCCACAGATGCTGGATGGCCTGCTGAATATCTTCTGTTTTAGATTTGCAGTATGTTGCTTTTGGAGTAATGTGAAGAGAGGTTTATTCACAGTAGCTTGAGAGTCACTAACCAGATTATAGATAGTGAAAATGTTTGGCAAAGAAAACCAGTGATGAGATGAAGAAATGTGTTTAAAACAGAGAGCTGATTGGGAATAGGACAATAGAAGCAGATTCGATATTCTCTTTTCAAAGAGAGTTGAGTAAGTATTTGGAAGAGAAGTTTAGTAGGATTAAGTGAATATCTCTTTGAAATGGCATGGTGTGTTTATTTTTCTTTAATCATTCGCAGGATGAGTGTGTCACTGAAGAGGCAGGATTTATTGCCAATCCCTCACTGCTCAGAGGGCAGTTTGGTGTTGTGCTGTATGAACATTAACATTTCTTTGTGTTTGGTCCTGTAACTGGTGCATATCCAGGACTCTTAATAGCTAGATTTAGTGGCAATGGCTCATTTTAGCTTGGAGGACCATTCCAGTGAAGAATTGTATTTTTTGTTTTAAAGCCTGCATTTTTTTAAAATGCTGATTCTGAGCATCTTGACAACTTTAATGCTAAGTGCCACTGGAGGAGATGATTTCTAGGAGATGTTTTATAGTAAGGATGAAGAAGAATAATTCTGCGCCAGTGTAGGGCCAGGAAGTCTGACTCATGAGCCTGTTATTAATGTATAATGACAGATATTGAAACAGCTGAAGAGTCTAAATCCTGCACAGCCTTTACAATTGTTGTGAAATTTCATTTCACAAGTGATTTGGCTTCAGAGGTTTCCAGGAACAACTAAAGTATTGGCAGCAACACCTTGGAAGCTAGGAAAGATTAAAATGTAACACAGTAGAATGTGTACATATGAAGTGCTGTATATTGGAAAGGTGAATAAAAAGACAATGTATAGTCACCAGTGATTGGAAGATCCAAGGATTTTATTAGCCACTGCAATGCAGACCAATCAACAAAGGAAATAAAATGCTAGGTAGCTTACAGTTCATGCTTAATTTGTTCATTGCTAGGATTCAATAGTACTGAAGACGCAATGCCGAGTTCTGGTCATTGAGTAACTAAGGAATAGTCAAATAGAGAAGGTAGTGCAATACACACTGCAAGGCGAGGCGCAGTGTTAAGTCTGAGTTAACAGGAAGGATGCAGTAGTCTGGAAAGAAGGTACTTCCAATATCATCATCTGGGGTTGCTAACGGTCTAGAAAGCTAATCCGTCAAATGAATCCTTTGTTAATAGGGCAAGTGGGCATATAATGAAGCTGTGATAGAAATTTAGAACTGATGGCTGGGTACTTGGTGATCAATATTTTAAGCTAATTTTTTGTGTAATCGTTATCCAACCCAGAAGTGGAATAACTTGAGATGCAGTTGGGTGCTGTGATTAGTTGCGAGAGGCTGGACAAAGTAAAGATGTATTTTAACCTTGTGGTCTTTAGTTTGTGGATAATTTTTATTGCAGTGAATCAAAGTTTAATTTCTGCTTTGAAACTGACTTGGTCAGTTGCTTTAACCTGTATGCATCTTTAATAAATTGTCATTTGAACATTGGGCATAAGACCACCCCAATAGGTCAGTTTTCTGTTTCTATCATACTTGGCCGAAGAACCGTTAAGTTAACTGCATTATCCCTGGCAAGCTTTAGTGTTTTTCTGTCGACCACTTCCCTATCCAAAACAGACAATTTGAATATTGGATTAACTTATTTCCCATTTAATTTGGTTCACTTGTCCCACCTTCCCTTTTTGCCATGTCACCTTGTTTGAAACAACTTGCTTCATGTCTTTGTTTTCCTAAACTGCTTGGAGTCCAACCAGCCTCTCAATTGTGGCATTGCTCTTCCTTGATATTTCCCAATGTCTCGTCCAGCTGGGTAGTTGTCAAAAGGGATATCTTTGCGATTGCTCATCATTGCTCCGGCAGGTTTCAGTAATGGTGCCAGCATAATAACAAACTATATATTTCTTTTATCTTGCAGTGACCTGAAAGTGAAGGTTGGGGAAAAGTACATCAATGTTCACAAGTTTGTGTTGGCAGCACGCAGTGATACCTGGAGCCTGGCAAATCTTGCTTCTACCAATGAACTTGACCTGTCAGGTTGGTGTACAAGATGGACTTGGAAAACAGTTTTCACTCCCTTAATCACACTGCAATATTATCCTACTTGCTTTCAACATACAGATAGTTCTCCTATAACATGTTACGTTGACACTTTGGATAACAAACTTTCTACTGTACAGTTATAGTGATTTTCCTATAACATGATTTTCTATAGTGCAAGGTCACACAAGAATGTTGAGAGTTATAGGAGAACTACCTGTACTTGATTGTATGTTATAAACTTAAAGATCAGGACGTGAAGTAGCCTCTATGCTTCTTGAGCCTGCTCCACCAGTCAATTTGGCCATGACTTTTTTTTTAAAACCCCTGTATCAGCTCCACTTCCCTGGATTCCATTATTGCCCAAAAAATCATTTAATCCAAACCCACGTGAGTGTTGAGCATCTGGAACCCTTTGGAGAAAAGAATTCGAGTGTCTCAAGCTTTTGCCTGAAGGGATTTCTCATTGTCATCCCAAACAGCTGACCCCTTTATCCTGAGATGACCCCTAATTCTAAACCCTTTAGCCTGGAGGAGCAACTTCTTAGGATATCCCTTGTCAAACCATCTCCGGTACTTTAATTCGATCACCTCTCATTCTTCTAAACCCTAAAGAATATAGGGCCTTTTTATTGATTTGTGTCTAAAATGAGTGAACTGCCTGTTTGAACTCCATTTCTGGCTCGCTGGGCACTGTACCGTATCCATCCAATATCTCTCCCATTTATTTTTCCTCAAATGTGGTGCTGATTTTTGGAGTGTTTGTGGAGGGAAGAAAATAATCTGTCCTGCTGCTGCTTGGTTAAACAAAAATTACACTGTCCTAAAGGGGTGTTTTATATTGAGCACAGCCTGCTCAGATAATTGATCCATGGGGAGCTTAATGTACAAAATTTCTAAAATGTAGCTGTTATATTTGAAAGGGTTAGTACTGAGGTGTGCCATAAGCATGTGAGATTTTGCGGAACGGTAGCAAAACTGGAGTCAGTTGGTCTCGGTGGAAAAAACACTCCACTGGTTGGAGTCATACCTAACACAAAAGGAAGGTAGTTGTGATTGTTGGAGATTGGTCATCAGCGTTCTAGGACATCACTGCAGGAGTTCCTCCGTGTCCTAGGCCCAACCATCTTCAGCTGGTTCATCAATGACCTTCCCTCTATCTGAAGTACAGATGGGGTGGGGATGTTTAATGACTACTGCCACCATGCTCGTTAAATGTAGCAATCTTAAGCATCAGGCCTCTCAGCCTAGTCACCTGACCTGCCCGTACAAGTTAGCAATCATCTGAGTGAAGCTTGGGCCTGAGAACTGTGTTTGTGTTCTGGCAATGGGGTATGACCCATTGCTGAAGTGCTGGCGTTATTTTGTTTGCATGGTGTCCCTAGCACAAGTAAGTACCAGGCTGTAGTAGATATGATTTCTCCTCTGGTTTACAGACTTGAATACCCAAAATGGAAAGACTATATCATCTTGAATAGGTTTTGCTCCTGAAGAATTATCATTCCCATGCCGCCTTGCAGCTATACCCGTTCTTGTGAGGAAAGATATAAGCAAAATTTAATGAGTTTAAAAGCTAATGATTTGCTTGAACCTAATGGTCCAAGACATTTTTGCTCAAAAAAGAGGTGACTACATGGGTGCTGAATGCTTTTATTTTGACTTTCTAGAATTGAGGGAATTCTGGAATGATCCCCATGAGGGGAGAAAATATAAACTTCCTGTTCAGGAATGGGGAGCTATAGTTCACCTGGTATCCATACTGGGTCAAGGCTAGAAGCTGAGGACATAACAGGATTTGTTGGACAAGCAATGGCACAAGGAGTATAGTGTTGGGAAGTGGAGAATTATTCACTTTGTTTGGAAGAATAGAAAAGCAGAATAGTTTGCAACTATCAAGTATTAGTATTTGAATGGGTTTGAGTGTCCTTGTATGCAATTTGGAGAAAGTAAACTTGCAATTTCAACAAGCAGTTTGTAAGGCAGCTAGTATGTCACTGCTATTGAAAAGCTTTCGAAGTACAAGGGTGAGGAAGTTATGCTGCACTAATACAGGGGTTTAGTGAGTCCACATCAGGAATACTGGGTCCCATTTTTCTTTTTACCAAAGGTAGGACATACTTCCCTGAGAGGAAGGTATAACAAAAGTTTACTAGATTGATTTCTCAAGTAAGAGGGCTGACCTCTGAATGACTTGGGCATGTGTTCTGTGGAATTTGGAAAATGACTGGAGATCATGTTGGAAGTGACATTTTTAAACTGACTTAATACAGTAGATATTGAGAAATTGTTTCTTCTGCCTAGAAGGTCTATAGGGTAAAAGTCAGTCTAAGGCATGCAGTTGGAACTAAGATGAAAAATTGCTTTGGAAGTGTTAGGGTTTGGAATTCTGTACCTCAGTGGACTGTAGCTGTTTACTTGATGCATGTTCAGGTATGAGATTGACTTTTGGGCAAAGGGTTTTGAGCTTAGAATAGGCAAGGTATCATTAATGGAAAGGTTCAGTCATGATCTTATTGAATGACAACTTGTCATCCTCATACGTATTACATTTTCTTATTATAAATGATTTTCTTTTGTTCACCTTGCCAGATGCAGATCCAGAAGTAACTATGGCAATGCTCCGATGGATTTACACGGATGAACTTGAACTGAAGGAGGATGATGTATTCCTCACTGAACTAATGAAATTAGCTAATAGATTTCAGCTATATCTCCTCCGAGAAAGGTAGGATATTTTACACTTGTTCTGTGCGAGTATGGAGATCTTGAAGTTGTGGTGTCTGGCTTGATGAACATTTATAAATGAACTACACAATTGAAATTGATAATTCTGTGTCAGTTGCAGTTAGACTTTCAATTCAGTTGCTATTTGTTATTTGGAGATTGTTTTGAACTTGAAGTTACAAGGAAACAATTTTTTCAAAGTAGTTACATGTGGGAAGAAAGTTTGAGAGGGAGAGTTTGTTTCACATAAATTTGTGTGATTATGTAGCACTGATGCTCTACAACATATTAATTACAAAGGACAAAAGCCGTTTGACCTGTCATTCTTCTAGCTGGGAAGAGCTAATCCCCATTGTAATACTTTATTGATGGCCACCCTGCTCCTTTTGGCCTGTTCCAGCAATCGGCTCCCTGGATTCTACAGTGATTACATTTACCTTCACTTGATTGAAATCCCTGATACCTTTGACCAGCAGAAATCCTCTACCCCTCAGTTCACTTTCTAGCACCCAGCTTCTATTAGAAGAACAATTCCAGATTTCCACAACTCTGTCCTCCCAGGCAAGAAGGGCTTCCTCTTGTCACTCAAATGGTTTGGCTCTGATCTTGAGGTTGTGCTACCTTGTTCTGGGTTCTCCTTGTGTTTATGAAATGATTAGTCTTCACTCCTAGTGCCTTTTTTTTTTGGAAGTTCTGTCCAACTATTGATTTTACTCCATTGCAGTCAAAAATTATGCATTATTGCTTCATGACCCATATGCCCAGGAAACAGCAAAAAGCAAAAAGCATTGCTTAAACTTCACTTAGTTTCTCTTCATGAAATTGACGTCAGAGGAAACAGAAACACTTTGGGGTGTGACCACACCATCACATTAAGGAGAGGAAGAGTTTTTTTTAGCTTTTTGTCTCGCTCACATTACAATTATTAGCTTTGCGTTGGTTAACTTTGCTTACAGTATGTAATGAATAGCTGGGAAGTATCTTTAGCTTCAACTGCTTTTGATGTTTTGTTTTTTTTTGTATGTGCTTTTTAAGATACATGTTTATGCCATGTTTTCAACATTACTATTTCTTTCCTGATTGATAGACTTAAATCACAGCCCAATATAGGAACTGAATTCCAGATCATATTTAATGTGATGGTGTGGTCACACCCCAAAGTGTTTCTGTTTCCTCTGACGTCAATTTCATGAAGAGAAACTAAGTGAAGTTTAAGCAATGCTTTTTGCTTTTTGCTGTTTCCTGGGCATATGGGTCATGAAGCAATAATGCATAATTTTTGACTGCAATGGAGTCAGTCATAATGTGGTTATACCTCATTTCTGCTGACCTAGAATCTGCTTTGTGTTTAAACTTGTCTCTCTGTAAAATGGCTTCATAGCTGCAATATGGCAGCAGGACATCTTCTGCCAGGTTTAATAAACATGGAAGGCATGCTTTAAAATTCAAGTGTGGCACCTTTGCCAGATATTTCGCAAGCTCAGGTTTTGAATCGAGTGAATAAGTTCTGGTTGTAAATCTCTTACACACTATGACCTTAAGGTGTCATGAATTCTGTCCTTGATCAAAAGGCAAGCATTTTATCAAATTGCAAGTTGGGGAGTGCATCACAAACATTGTGCTCCTCCATTTTTAATTTTTATGTTACGTGACTAGTTTTTATATGGGAACAAGCCATTTTCCTCAACAGGCCTGTACAAGTGTTGTTCAGCCTTGCTTCAACTTGCCCTGTTGTCATATCCGAGTATTCCTTTCTTAATGTTTTCCAGTTACTATGCTATTCAGCTCAACCACTTACCACATTGAAACAGTCTGAAGAGTTCCTTTTGAATTCCTGGATTTATTAGTGACTAAACAATTTGTGTTGTTGCCATGAGTCTCCACCCTGATTTGTATCTGGAATTTTTGATATACTCTAAGTTCTAAGTTCAATTCATTAGTGTAAATAGTGAGCAACAGTGGCCCAATCACTAATCCCTTTAGAATGCCACTACCTAAAAAGTGGGGAGTCATTGGCCAGTGATATTGTTGCTGGATTAATAATCTAGCAATTCAGTGAATATTCTGGGGACCAGGGTTTGAATCCTGCCATGGCAGATGGTGGAATTGGAATTCAATTTAAATAAAAAAGCTGGAATTAAGGAAAGGAAATCTACCATTCTGACCTGGTCTGGCCTACATGTGACTGCAGACCCACAGCAGTGTGGTTGACTCTCGTTGGCCTCTGAAATGGCCTACCAGGCTATTGAGTTGTACCAATTGCTGCAAAGAAATGAAACTTTGCAATCGGACGAATCACCTGGCATCAACTAGGCACCAGAAAGACAATGGCAGAAACATCTGTGTTGACCCTGCAGGGTCCTCCTTACTGACTGCTTGGGGGCTAGTGCCAAAATTGGGAGAGCTCTCTCATAGACTAGTGAGGCACAGCCTGACATTGTCGGTAAGGTATGATTCTGTGACTATGACCGTTCCAGGTACCACTATCACCGTACATTGATATGTCCAGTCCTGCTGGTAGGGCAGACCCAGCAGAGATGAAGGCACAGTGATATACAGTCAGGACGGAGTTGCCCTTGGAGTCCTCAACATTGACACTGGATCCCATGAAGTCTCATGGCTTCAGATTGAACATGGGTAAGGAAACCTCTTCCTGATTACCATGTACTGCCCTCACTTGACTGAATTGGCACTCCTCCATGTTGAACAACACTGAAAAGAAATACTGAGTGTGGCAAGGGCACAAAATGTATTCTGCGTGGAGAATTTCATTGTCCACCACCAAGTGTGGCTTGGCAGCAGTACTATAGATCAAGTTGGTTGGATCCTAAAGGACATAGCTGCTAGACTGAGTCTGCAGCAGGTGGTGAGAGAATTAACCAGAGGGAAAACACTTGACCTCTTCCTGATCCATCCAGATGGATCTGTCCAGATGGTATCAGTGTGACCACTGCGCAGTCCTTGGGGAGACAAAGTCCTGCCTTCACATGGGGATCACCCTCCATGTTGTGTGGCACTGTCCCCCCATGCTAAATGGCACAGACTTTGAACAGATCTGGCAACTCAAAACTGGGCATCCATGAGGCACTGTGCGCCATCAGCAGCAGAATTGTACCCTGGTACAATCTGCAAACTCATGATCTGGCATGTCCCCACTCAACCATTACTATCAAGTCTTTGGATCAATCCTGGTTCAATGGAGAGTGCAGGAAGTAATGCCAGGAGAAGCACCAGGCACACCTGAAGGTGAGGTATCAGCCTGGTGAAGCTACCAAACAGGACGAGCATGCCAAACAACATAAGCAGCAAATGATAGTGCTAAGTGATCTCACAACCAACAGACCAGATCTAAGCTCTGCAGTCCTGCCACATCCAGTTGTGAATGATACTGAACAATTAAACAACTTGCTGGATGAGAAGGCTCCACAATTATCCGCATCCTCAATGATGGAAGAGCCTGGCACATAAGTGCAGAAGATAAGGGTGGCTCATTGGTTACCACCCCTGCCTCACAGCGCCAGGGACCCAGGTTTGATTCAACCCTTGGGTGACTGTCTGTGGAGTTTGCACATTCTCCCCGTGTCTGCGTGGGTTTCCTCTGGGTGTGCCGGTTTCCTCCCACAGTCTAAAGATGTGCAGGTTAGGTGGTTTGGCCATGGGAAATTGTCCATAGTGTTCAGGGTTGTGTAGATTAGATGGGTGATAGGGGGATGGGTCTGGGTGGGATGCTCTGTGGGTCGGTGTGGACTTGTTGGGCTGTAAGGCCTGTTCCCACACTGTAGGGGTTCTGTGATGAGGCTGAAGTATTCACAGCGATCTTCAGCCAGAAATGCCAAGTGGATGATCCATCTCAGCCACCTCCAGTGGTCTTCGGCATCTCTGAAAGCAGTCTTCAACCAATTCGATTCATTCCACGTGATATCAAGAAATGTTTGGAGACGCTACATAATGCAAAGTCTATTGGCTCTGACAACATTGCAGCAACTGTACTGAAAGCCTGTGCTCCAGAACTTGCTGTTCTTGTACAGTTGCAACACTTGTATCTACCTGAAATGTGGAAAATTTGCCCAGCTATTTTCCTTACCTAAAACAAAAAGGATAAATACCAACCCAGCCAATTCAGTAAAAGTGATGAAAGGTTGTTATCAAACAGCATCTGCTCAGTGATGCCCAGTTTGGGTTCAGCCAGGACCACTCGGCTCCTGACCTCCATTACAACCTTGGTTCAAACGTGGACAAAAGAGCTGCAGTCGAGAGGTGATGTGTGAGTGACAGCCCTTGACATCAAGGTGCATTTGACTGGATGTGGCATCAAGGAGCTCTCTCAAAACTGGAATCAATGGGTGTTAAGGGGCAGAATCTCCACTAGTTGGAGTCATACCTGGCTCATGGGAAGATGGTTGATTGTTGGAGGTGAGTCATCTCAGCTTGTGAACTCTGTTCCTCAGGGTAGTGAACTTGGTCCAATCATCTTCATCTGCTTCACCAGTGACCTTTCCTCCATCGTAAGTCAGAAGTGGAGATGTGCAGTACCGCTTGTACCTCTTCAGATACCAAAGCAGTCCATGTTCAAATGGGATACCAAGGTGTAGAGCTGGATGAACACAGCAGGCCAAGCAGCATCAGAGGAGCAGGAAGGCTGACGTTTTGGGCCTAGACCCTTCCTGCTCCTCTGCTGCTTGGCCTGCTGTGTTCATCCAGCTGTACACCTTGGTATCTCGGATTCTCCAGCATCTGCAGTTCCTGCTATCTCATGTTCAAATGGAACCCAATCTGGACAATATCCAGGCTTGGGCTGACCAGTGGCAAGTAATGTTCACGTCACACAAATGCCAGGCAATCTAACCAATGCACTATGATGTTCAACGGTGTTACCATCACTGAATCCCCACTATCAGCGTCCTGGGAGTTTCCATTGATTGTTTGTTTGTGTCGAGTCCAGCTGAGTTTCCACAGTGGCTAGGAGAGCGGGTCAGAGACTAGGAATACTGCAGCGAGTAACTCACCACCTGATTTCAGCACCTCCCCCCACCCCAAAAAATAAAAACAGCCTGACCACCATCTACAAAATACAAGTCAGGAGTGTGATCGAATACTCCCCACTTCCCTAGATGAGTGCAGCTCCAACAACATTCAAGCATGACACGATCCAAGACACAGCAGCCTGCTTGATTGGAACTACGTCCACTTTCCACTGGCCCTCACAGCAGTGTACTCTCTACAAGGTGTACTGCAAAAATTCACTGAGGCTCCTTTACGCATCACCTTTCAAACCCGTGACTACTTCACTCTAGAAAGATAAGGGCAGCAGATATATGGAAACATGACCACCTTCAAGTTCTGTCCAAGCAACTCACTATCCTGACCTGGAAATGTATCACTGTTCCTTCATTTGCTGGGTCTAAATCCTGGAATTCCCTCCCTAAAGGCATTGGGGAATCTACCTACACCAGGTGTTCTGCAGCGGTTCAAGAAAGCTGTTCAGCACCACCACCTCAAGGGAAACTGGAGATGGGCAATAAATGCTGGTCAGGCAGCAATGCTGATGCCCCAATGAATAAAAACCTTCCTGTTGCCAGTCTGAGTAGTTACTGTTTAATCCCAACAGTTTAGTTTTGTAATTTAGTTGACTTAATTGTATTATTACTTGTCCCCTGACCCTGCATGTGCTGACCTTACTCATGAGTCTACATGCAGTACCTTTTGGGTTAAAAAAAAATCTTCAGTCTCTGTATATTGCATTCACTTCATTCTCTACTCTCATCTAGTCTTTCAATGACAGAATTATCCTTTCTGGGAACCTTGACTATGTAGGATGAAAACAATTTGTGTAATGTGATTTACATATACTCTGCTGACATATTTTGCTCAAATGCAAAGAAAAAGCAACTGTTTGATCTGAGCTAAGAGGTTGCTATTGAGGGGACTAGGGCGCTTTGACAAGGTACTCCTGTTTAGGTGTGTGTACGACCAATCCCTGTAACCAGGGATCGTAATTTGAGTATGCTAGCATCCTATTTCCTGGTGACAATGCAAGATTTTTCAACATGTGTTCTGAGTGTGTATTGATGTCTGTACTTCCCATTGACAGGTGTGAAAAAGGAGTCATGTCACTAGTTAATGTTAGGAACTGTATTCGGTTCTATCAGACTGCAGAGGAGCTAAATGCAACTACGTTGTTGAACTACTGTTCTGAGATTATTGCCAGCCATTGGGTGAGTTAGTTTTTTTTTTGCTACAAAAGCGCTATATAAATGCAATGTTCCAAGAATTTCAGATTTGCATGTAAATCAATGCAAACTACGAGAACCTAAGCTATATTTCATAGCACGTTGTCAAATATCTCTGACCAATTTGAAAAACAAATGTTGTTGATGGCAGACTTTCCAGGTGACTTAGAAATGCAGTTTGTCACTTTCCAAATTGACGAGCTGGGAGGCAAGCTGTTTACTGGTTTTGTTTTTGTCTCCCTTGATCTGAGCTGTAGGGATCTGCATGAGGAACATTGAAGGAAGCGTGTTTATTTTGAAACCTGCCCCCTCCGCCTCAAAAAAAACTGAAGAATTAGATGAGGTCATTTCTGGCATCAAAATGATTTCCACTCAGGGTTTGACTCCACAGCAGATTAAAGGGACAAGTTCCTTGTTTGCACAATCCTGTAGTATCTAGTGGCCAATATAGGAAATCCCTGTGCCACAATTGATGTAATTGACTGAGGAAAACCCTGTGGTACAGATGATTTGTTTGAGAAAGGTGTTGTGCTGCAAGTGAATTGATGTGGTTAGGGGGGGTGAAAAGAACCCCTGGGCAGTAAATAGTGTTCAGTGCTATAGCTGATTCCTAGAGTGAAACGTGCCTTTCTTCAGTAATGATATCACTAGCTTTGCTGACTCCAATTCATCCAACACCACCACTTTTTTTTTTTTTTTTTTTTTGAAGTAGTTTGTTTTAAATTATGCAAATTCAGTGTAAAACGCTCCACCGAGATTTTTTTCATTTTGCTAGTTGGAGTTGGAAGGATAGTTCACTTTAATTCTCCCAGAATTAATAACTACAGAATCCAAGGTAGACATTAAAAATGATATGGATGTTAGACATGTCATTGTGCACAGTCTGTGCTGGTTAAAATGATCAGTAACTGGATCGTATCTTCCCAAAAAGCTTTTAGTTTGATCTACTGTGCTCATTGATCTCAGCAGAGATTGATACAGTTTTAGTTTCCATACCTCTTAAAGATCCCTTTGGATGCAACATAGAATGGATGGCCCCTCTAGCTATTCAGTTGAATGTTAATGAGCACTTGATACTATTTGAAGTTCAACTAGATATTGGTGAATATTTGTCTCTCCATCAGCCTCAAAGATGAGGATTGACTGCTTAGGCACATGTAAAATGTTTGAGCTGGGGAAAACATGCTTGTTCTGTCAGCTATCTGTTTTTTTTTTATTCCAAAAAACTTTTTTATACTCTTCTGTAGCAATACCAAATGACCTTGTACTGTAACAAAGGTGCAAGTAGTTTGAATGTAATTTGCAGGTCCAAATGTAAGTTGATTACACTTTCTTTTTTTTTTTTGTTTTTTGAAGTCTTCAATCTCTTTCAGTGGTGGAATTTCAGTTTTCGTCTTTAGTAACAATAAAGGTAACAAGTGTTGCAAAATGATTATGGAAGTGACTTTTGAAGGTCTTGAATTTTATAATTTTTTTTTTGAAAAAGAACATGCATTTATGTCATGACTTTCGTGATCACAGGATGCCTAAATGTGTGTTATGTGCAACTAAATCCTTTTTTGAATTGAACTGTGGAGGAACACCTTATTTAGGATTGTAAAGCTGTAACCTATAGGGGCTAAAGTAACAGTGTGGTTGTGGTAATGGATCAGCAATCAAAAGGCCTGGAGATTTCAACCAAAGGCGCATATTTTAAATACCACCATGGCTGCAAAAGGATTTAAATTCTATTTATTATGGTTCATCAGTAATAAAAGTTAGTACTGGTGACGATGAAACTGCTGAATTGTTGTCTAAGTACCTATTTGGTTTGCCAACGTCCTTGGGAAGGAAACCTGTCACCTTTTTTAGTCTGGTGAAAATATGATTCTAGATACCCTTCACTCAGATAGTAAGAACTGCAAATACTGGAGTCTGAGAAGTGTGGAACTGGAGGAACACAGCAGGCCAGGTAGTATCCAAGGAGCAGGAAAGTTGACGTTTTCTGAAGCAGGGTCCCCACCTGAAATGTCGACTTTCCTGCTCCTCTGCTGCCTGGCCTGCTGTGTTCCTCCAGCTCCACACTTTGTTACCACTATGATTGCCTGTTCTTGAAAGTGGCCTGTGCAAACTGTTGTATTGAATAAGGTGGCTCATTGCCATCTTTTTGAGCACAATTGGAGATGACCAATTTTAAATTCGAACCTTGACAGTGATGCCTAGGTCTAGTCAATGAATTTTTAAAGTACATTACTTTCTCATAGCTTTAGCTGTCAACATGCTCTCTGTTGCAGGCATTCATCAAACGCGTCACCAACAGCAATGAAACCCTAAGAGACAGTCACAGAATGATTGATTGTATGTCTCTCTCTCAAGTTGGTCATTATGGCTTTTTGATCTATCAAGTCTATGCTGGCCCTCTTTTAGAGCAATCCCATTCCCCTATCTCCCCACCCTCCATGATCTATCCATGTAGCTCAGAAAATTTCTCTTCAGTGCCCATCCAATTTATTCATTTTGATTTCCCCCACCCTTTCAGATTGTACTGCTCAGTTTCTTAAAAAAAACGTTTTTATTCTTTCTCACCAACCATTTCATTATGCTTGAACATCTCCATTACAACCTGTCTCTTTGGTGTTGACTTTCTACTTTCCAGTTCTTCATCTACTGCCCCTTTATAAAATGTTGAAATGTCTAATACAAAGAGGACTATAGACATGTAGGTTTGTGAAAGTAGCTATTACGTATGTAGAGAAGTATCAGCCGATACACAATGAAAATGATCCCTTTTTGGAATGATTATCTACTCCTCTTCACCAAAAAAAAACTAGTGCTTTTGTTGTTATTTATCCAGGATGATCTGCAGAAAGATGATTTCAGTAGCATGACTGCCCCTTTGCTGTATAAAATGATTAAATCAAAGACCGAATACCCTTTGCATAAAGCCATCAAAGTCGAAAGAGAAGATGTTGTATTTCTCTACCTCATTGCGACGGACTCCCAGGTAGGTGTCGTCTTTTAACTAAAGCAATGTGCAGAAGACTTTCCTTCAGGGTTCCCCGCCATGTAAATCATTTCAAATGTTTACATGTGTAACTTTGGAGAACCTTTTTTGCCTCATTCCTCAAGCATGGCCTGGGCTTTAAAAGTAGAGCACTTGCATTGTAGATTTTTGCAAAAAACCTGCAGCTGCAGGAAAGCTGAGATTTAAATATCCACTACAAATTGAAAGCATTGAAACAAAACCTGACTTGAAAGCAATTTTATTTAGGAATCCACTACCAGGAGCAGGTTTTCTTTACCTTCATTTGGTTTATTGTATCTTCTGGAACCTCTTAGTTCAACATATGAAGACATGTATACATATTTTGCATTAATTGCCTTCAATAATCTTGATGTACTGAATTAAGTTTCTTAAGAAACTGCCCTACCTAAAACTCTCAACTCTTAATAGTCTAAGACAAACTGGACAGGAACAATGGATAGTAGACTGGAGCTACCTGGTAAGCCTGATCGTCTGAGCCTGTGACCCCCGAGCTATAGTTTGAACATGTTGATCTATATAATTGGATCCTGTCCCCTTTTCTAAACTTTTTTCTTGTAACTGAAACTCTTCTCCAAGAAATTCCTTCTCGAGACAGACCACCACCCCTCAAAGCGATTTACTGCGTGAAATAGGTTTGTTTTTTGTGTGTGTGTGTGTGTGTGTGTGTGTGTGTGTGTGTGTGTGTGGTAATATCACCAGCTGTAGTTTTCTAGATCATTAGATTTGGTGTAATGATGTAGGGTCTTATCTTTTTTCCTGTCTGCTGCTGACATTAATGTTTTTCTTTTGCTCTTGCTATTTGTTTATTACTACATTTTACAGTTGCCTGGTAAACTGAATGAACTTGATGATAATGGAGACCTGGCCTTGGATCTGGCACTGTCTCGACAGCTGGAAAGTATTGCAACCACATTGGTTAATAACAAGGCAGATGTTGATATGGTTGATAAGAACGGCTGGAGTTTGCTTCACAAAGCTATCCAAAGAGGTAAAGTGATGGCAAGGGTGTTAAGGTCAATATATCGGTAGCTCAAATAGCTTGCAAAATTGTACATTTCTTGTGTTCACTGCACACTCTAAATGTAACAGTGGCTTGTCAGCATTGAATGATTCAGTTTAACGTCAAATATTACAATTTTTCTGATACAGACTCTGCAAATTGGCAAATATATATTTGTGATGCAAGTAAAGAAACAAATGTCTGGGAAGGCTTGAAATCTCAAACTGAAAACGTTGGGGATACGCAGCAGGTTAAGTGACATCTGTGGGGGAAGTAGCATGGTTAACACTTCAGATGAATGACTTTGAGAGCCAGGAAAAGTTAGATATATCTGGTTTTGAGCAAGTATGGAGAATTTGTACTTTTCAGGCAAAGCAGCCTGCTTAATTAACACGCAACGCACCACATTCAAAATTCACTACCAGCTTGCAAGTTCCCCCTCAAGCCACTCACCATCTTGATGTGGACTGCAATGGTTCAAGAAGGCTGCTCATCATTACCACCAGTACCAGGGCCATTAGCAGTGAATGATCAATGCTCTCAAAGAAAGGGCCCCTGAGCCAAAGGTTGTACAAGGGCCCCCAATTTTTCCCCCAAATACTTGGTATCCACGCATTCGTACTTATGATCCCATATAGCAGTGTAATTTTAAAGACCCCAGATACATATATTTGCTGCACTTAAGGACAGCTGATTTCTGTTGTCCCTCATTTATGTTTTCTTACTAGAATCTAGAACCCCTACAGTGTGGAAAGAGGCCATTTGTCTCATCAAGGACTGCACTGACCCTCCAAAGAGCATCCCACTTGGTCCAGCCCCCTACCCTTTCCCATAATGCTGTATTTACCATGACTAATCTACCTAGCTATTTAAAGAGGAAGTAGAATTCTGCGATTATTATGGTAATGCAATGTGAAAGAATTAAGTTACAAGACTAGTAGAATGTGGAAACTGGGTATGAAAAGCCCTGAGATCCTTGCACAAACTTGGTACTTGTTCAGTTGTGGAGTGTGGATGTGCATGGGTCTTAAGCAATGAAGGTATTGAATTCTTTTAATTTCAAAGCGTTATTTGAATGTGTCTGAAATATTAAAATTACACCATAAAGGTTTCTCTGAACTCTGATCCCATTGTTTTTATTTTTACTAACTTTTGCTCTGTCTTTGAGTATGAATAGCTAGGTGAGAATTCTGTAAACTCCTTCTCCTGAATCTGGTTGTGGGAGACAGGATAAAATGCCTTTGGATGATGTTGGAAATGGATCTTTTGAAAGATATTGTGGAAATCTGCAGTTGAAATTGCATTGTAACCTTTAACTTGAGTTAGGCTTGATATTAAGTAAACATAGAAATTTGTGATGTTCTTCTAGCTTCTACTTCTACTTCTACAGATCGCAGTGAAAGATTCTCTGCACTTTCTCTTTTCTCCCCCCCCCTTCCCTCCAGATGGCTAATTCCTTGCTTGGTTGTGGTTATTTGATGCTGATGGCCTTCTACACAAGTGAGCATAATTTGAGACTTTATGGGGAGGTGATGGCCTAGTGGTATTATCGCTGGACTGTTAATCCAGCGATCCAGATAATGTTCTGTGGAGCGGGTTCGAATCCCACCATGGCAGACGGTGGCATTGGAATTCAATAAAAATATCTGGAATTAAGAATCAAATGATGGCCATGAATCCATTGACGATTGTCGGGGAAAAACCCATCTAGTTCACTAATCCCCTTTTTAGGGAAAGAAACTACCATCCTTACCTGCTGTGGGTCTGGAGTCACACGTAATGTGGTTGACTAATTGCTCAGAAGGTAGTTTAGGGAGTGGCAATAAATGCTGCCTGGTCAGTGACTCCCTCATCCTGTTGATTCCATGCTAATCTTTCAGTGTAGGTGGTACTGAGGGAATGCTGCATTGAAGGAACAGTGTAGTTCCTTGTCAGGATAGTGAGATTTTTTTTGGGACCCTCTCTTCCCAAACATCATCATCATCTGTCCTGTCCTTTCTAAGTTGTAGGAATTATGGTTTGAAAGGTACTGTCAGAGAAGCCTTTGTCAGTTGCATCTTTATGCACACAATGCCACTGTATGCCCTGATGGGGAGTGCCAGTCTAGTGTGCTGCTTTATCCTGGATGATTTTGAGCTGCTGGGTGCTGTTGCTGCCTTTTTTCTTTTTAAGAAGAAAAAGATTTCCATGAGATGGCTTTACATAGATACGTAGAATCCCTACAGTTTAGAAACAAGCCGTTGGGCCAAGTTGAGCATCCCACCCAAACCCACTATCCCTGTAACCCTGTATTTCTCATAGCCAATCCACCTAACCTGCACGTCTTTGGACTGTGGGAGGAAACTGGAGCACCGAGAGGAAATCCACTCAAACACAAGGAGAATGTGCAATCTCCACACGCTTGCCTGAGGCTGGAATCAAAACGGGGTCCTGTGCGCTGTGAGGCAACGGTGCTAACTGCTGAGCCACCATGCTGTCCACGACACCTTTTTTTATTGTCAAGATCTGCATTTTGTGGGTTTTCTTAACTAGTGAGGGCAGTTAAGAGGTAAATTACATTTTTGTGCATTTTGGAGTCAGGTTTAAGCCAGACCAGGCACAGAATGCAGATTCCTTTTCGGAAAGGACATGAATGAAAGAGGGATTTTTATGACAGTTCTCAGGATTGCAATCACTGTGACTAGCTTTATATTCCAGAATTTGAATTCAGTTAACTAATATCAGCTACCATGGTGAGATTTGAAACCAGGTCCCTAGAGCATCATCTTGTGCTGCTGAATTATTCGTCTGGTAATATTCCCACTATACCACCAAGTCCCCTAAAGCTGTATTCATTTAAACTGGTTTTGTGCATACTGCTGTTTTTGGAACTTGTGACTTTCATATGTGTGGTAGTGATCTACCTAAGGGCAAGTTGTCTAGTCATTCCTCCTGCCTTGCAGTTTTGTGCTTTCCTCTTTTTAGCTCTTCATGATGAAAGAGATCGCACAATTTTCTTTTTTTGGGGGCTGGAAGCTGAAATGGAAGTCGGGTTGCTATAAATGAAACACTAGAAAGTCTTTGCAACTTGACAATAGTGTTACGTACGGAGTCATCTCTTCTTTCTCCCTCTTCTTTTTCTTTCTCCCCTCACTGCCCTTCTCTCTTTCTCCCACCACTGTTCTGTCTCTTTCTTTCTCGTACAACAGTGAGGCATGATTTATGACCACAATCTTTCCAGTCAAGTTATGCCAATATAAACTTCCCGCATTCAGTTTTGATGAATCATGTGATGAGGTCAAAGAACAAATGGTGGTTTCTTGTTTCATCCTTGTGTTTGAAGGGCACAGAAATCATCATCCTCAAAGGTTCTGAACCTGTCAACATCTATCCTTTCGCCATGGCTTGTAACACTGGGGCCTTTGGGGCACCTTGCAAAAGGGCAGGGATGATGCTCCTTCTATCCCTCATACATGGAATGAAAGAAAAAGATTAACTTGAGAGGGAGAACAACAAGTTGGTCAAAGAAGTTAGTTTACAAAGTTTCTCTAAAGGAGGAGAGAATGCTCTATTGGAGTTTGACCACTGTAGGATATACAGCAGCCAGTTTGTGCACAGCAGGACTCTTCAGCTACAAAGTATTTGTGACTTTAAGCTGTTCGTTAATGATAAATATTGGCCGAGGAGCATTGTCCCGGTTGAGGTATGTACAAAGTCAAAGGCTGAGTGGTGATTTTGTGCTTCAAGATGTGTTGAGAGAAGGTAGGGATAACATGATCTGGGTAGCTAAGTTTTTAAGAGATCTTCTCATTCGTATTTTTTTTTTTAAAAGAAGTGCAGGAGGAGGCTGTTCAACCATTTGAGTCTGTTCAGTTATTCAATAAGATCATGGTCAATCTGTTCATGACCTCAACTCTATATTCACACCTACACCCAATAACCTCTGACTCACTTCTTAGTCAAGAAATTATCAACCTCTGTCTTAAGAAATATTCGTGACTTTCCCCAGAGAGTTGCAGAGGCAGAGTTTCAAAGATTCTACTCCTCTGAGAAATAGTTGCACATCTAATCTTAAATGGAAGATGCTGTTTTTGTTTTTTTAGCCAAACTGTCCCTTGGTTCTAGTCACTCCCACAAAGAGAAACATTCTTTCAGCATCCACCCTGTTAATGCGTTTCAGGATCTTTTGTCTCAATAAAATCATCCTTTTATTGTTCTAAGCTCCAATGGATCAAGGCCTGTCGAAGTCAAGTTTCTCACCTCTCCCCAAAATTCTAAGTGTCAGTCGAATGAACCTTGTCTGAACTCCTGATGTGAATATATCCTGCTATAAGGAGACCAGAGTTCCCTTTATCCACAGTGCTTGCTGCCACTGCAAATAAATACCCAAAAAAGTTAATCCGACATGATTTTCCTGTCAACCATGTTGACTATGCTTGGTTGCGTTGAGATTTCCTAAGGCTATGGTTTCTGCTTTCTGTCCCTCTTTCTTGAATAGGGAAATCACATTCACTATTTTCCAATCAAATGAAACCTTTTCCAGAATTTAGGGAATTGGGTTTTAAATTTAACCAAATTACTTCTGGAATTTTTAAAATCTTTTCTGAAATGAAGACCATGCAAAATATCTGCTCCATTCACCTGCCGTTTCTTCCTTTTCCACTTAATTACCCAGAAAACTGGTGCTGGCTTTACTTTTGTTCTCCTTTCCTTTAAAATACCATTTAGAAGGTTTTTTAATGCTTCCAGTTAGATTTATTTCTTTATTTCTTTATTTCTTTATTTCTTTATTTCTTTATTTCTTTATTTCTTTATTTCTTTATTTCTTTATTTCTTTATTTCTTTATTTCTTTATTTCTTTATTTCTTTATTTCTTTATTTCTTTATTTCCTCTAATTTCTTCAACCTTATTCATCTTTTTTCCTGTTCCATATATCGTCACATCTTCTGGTGTGCCACTCCTCTTTTATGGAATTATTGGCTTTTTCTCTCCAATTATATTTGTATCTTTTTAGGTTTTTTTGGCCATAGATGGTGCATGCTTTTCTTGGAGTTTTTCATTTTCAATGCAATGTACCTCTTCTGAGTTTTTTCTGAAAAACGTCCTTGAACGTCTGCCACTATCTCTACTGGTCTATCCCACAATCTAATGTTTCAGTCCACTTTAGCAGCTGTCTTTCAGACCATCATAATTTCTCAAGTTTAAAACACCAGTCTTAGATCCACTGTTCTCTCCCTCAAAAATTTGAATGAAAAATTATGATCTTTGCTACATATTAATATTGTGCCTTTACTAATGAGGTCATTGACTAGAAGATTTGATTTATATCATAATTTAGCTTTAATGCTCCTGACTTTCTTTTATTTTGAAAGTACTATATCAAAACAGGCAGAAATTGTGGCTAATCTAATATTGGATATTGGACAAGTAGTACACAAACAATAGAGGAGTTGAGAGGTAGTTATTAGTGTTGTGTGTAGGAACGTAAGAGCAGGAGTGGGCCATCTCTCCCCTCAAGCCTGCTGCCCCCACCCTTTTTGCTGGCTGATGTCATAAAAGCTAATATTAATTGAAGAGAAGAGGAACAAAGTGGTACTTTTCAGTGACTGTTAAGGTTGGGTGTAAGGGGAGGAAGAGAAAACCACATTGGAGATCCTCTTGCCATGAGTATAACTAAGAAAGAGGGGAACAAAAACAGAAGTTGCTGGAAAAAGCTCAACAGGTCTGGCAGCATCTTTTGAAGAGGAAAAAAAAAATCAGAGTTAACGTTACGGATCTGTAACTGAGGAAGGGTTGCTGGACCTGAAACGTTAACTCTGGTTGTCTTTTTTTTTTTTTTTTTTTTTGTTTCTTATTTGCAGCATGCACAGATACTGCCAGACCTGCTGAGCTTTTCCAGCAACTTCTGTGCATGCTGCAAATAAGAAACAAAAACTGTTCTTTTAGTTTTTAACCGAGTAAGAGAGGCCCACTTATCTGGAGAATTAAGGTAAATATCAGAAAGGTGGTGTGATCAATGCTGCCATGCTGCAGGCTCTCAGCCAAAAATTATAATTTGTCTTTTTGGGAAGAACAGTGTTACTGGTAGAGATGAAAAACCCAAGCATGTGATTTACTTAGAGTTGAAAGGCTAGACATCTGGCTGAATGGATAGGCTTCATCTGGGTGACAAACTCCCAATTCCTGTGAGCTGCTTGCACTTGGTCTCCTTCATCCTCTCCTTTAGTGAAGAACTGGTTGGTTTGGCAGAGAGGTGGGGTTGGTCTGTTGTCGCATCATTCAGGCCAGCCATATTCGGTGGTGGATGACGACTGAACAAGGCTGCTTCTGATATGTTTGGGTCCGTTTGCCTTGGAATTAAAAACTAATGTGGTAGTGATGGGAGAGGGATGAGGATTGAATGAATAGAATAGAAGAGATTGAAGACTTTATACGAGTTGCGGATGTAACTGAACTAATCAAAAGCTTGGAGAACCGAAGTATTGTGAATGGAGGGCCAAAGGCTTGGCGTTTGGTGGTTTGAAAATGAGGTGGGTAGCCCACCAGTTTGAGATTTGGCTACTTGATGAGTTTGCTGAGCTGTGAAAGCAGATATGCAATCAGTCTAGTGTTTGCTTTATCATTTTGTCATTTGAACAATTGCGTGAGTGTTGGTTACTCATTTGGCATTGGTGCAAAATTAAACTTGTGTTATGATTTCAGAATCAGCCTGAGGCTACCCATATTGGTAACTTTTTTAACTATCTACGAGTAAAAGTTTTGCATATAACTTCAAAGAATTAGCTTGAATTTAAATCTCAGAGCACTAATTATTTTTACGTGCTGTATCCAGGGTTGCTCATATAGCAAGTGCAGATTGCCATCTTGTGGAAGGGAGAGGAGTTTGGGGATGATGTACAGTTTGTTAATAAAAGTTGAGACTTTCATTTTTGTTCTGGACTTGAACCATTTGATGTTGTGGAATATAGTGTTAATTTCTTTTTTTTTACAAAAAGACAAGCAGCTGTAAATATTCAGGAATTAAGGCAGCATGTGTGGAGAAGGTGTTGCTATTTCAGGTCAACGATTTTCCATCATAACTTCTTTCTGCTTTCAGACTCAACATTTGTTCTCCCCCGCCTGAAAAAAAAATTAATGGTTGCATGGTTATATATTGGAAATTTCTAAATTGTAATGCCTACCGACTGCCCCTAGTTGGATTAGTGTATTTAAAAAAAAAAAAAAAACTGAGCATAAGCAAGCTGCATTCCTCCTGTAAATGACAGCCATTCTTTGATAACAGGGACTTGCCTTCCGGAAAGGGGTTGATATAAAGCACTCCACAGTTTCCCATCAGTGCTCCCTGGGCCACTGACTCCATTCGTGTCTGTGCCCAACTGCTCTTCCAATAATGTAGCAGGAAGGCATGGAACCTTCAAATTTGGCGAGCACTAAGGATGTGCTTTCAGGCCATTGGGGGAGTTCAGTGGAAAAATGCTGTAATTGCCACCAAATGGATTATTTAAAACGAACTGCATAAATGGAAAAGCTAGAAAATTACATGGAGCAAAGAATGGAAGGGTATATTGGATGTGATGGAAGTACTAGCATAGACTTGTAGCACTTTTTGAAAAGCACGCAATTCTTTTAACATTGTAGTAGCTTAAAGTGTTGCAGTCCTAAGATTAACATTCTTCAACCAAGTGCTAGCGTGCACCATTTTCAGTATTGTGAACAAAAATCAGTTTGAATGTCAAACATCCCAAAAAAAGTTAAAATTTCAATCTGGTTTGTAGTGGTGTTGATCCTTTTCCCTTGGCACAAATTTTAGAATTCCCATGTTGGTGTCAGAATCCATACTCCTCCTCAAACAGCGTCAAATTAAACATTAGTTGAGCCAAACAAATGAATCACGCTCCTACACTTTTACTGAAAACAGAATGATCTTGCTCTTTTGGTACACGGTACAGTTTTGATTTATTTGGGTTGAAGTGAAGTTGAATATTGACAGTATCTGTCAGGTGCTGAGAGGAAATTGGAATGTGAATGTTTTACAAAGAAAATTACAGCATGGGAACAGGCCCTTCGGCCCTCCAAGCCTGTGCCGATCCAGATCCTCTATCTAAACCTGTTGCTTATTTTCCAAGGATCTGTATCCCTCTGCTCCCTGCCCATTCATATATCTGTCTAGATACATCTTAAATGATGCTATCGTGCCCGCCTCTACCACCTCTGCTGGCAATGCGTTCCAGGCACCCGCCACCCTCTGTGTAAAGAACTTTCCACGCATATCTCCCTTAAACTTTCCCCCTCTCACCTTGAAATCGTGACCCCTAGTAACAGAGTCCCTCACGTGGGGGTGGGGGTGGGGGCGGGGGTGGGGGTAAGCTTCTTGCTATCCACCCTGTCTATACCTCTCATGATTTTGTAAATCTCAATCAGGTCCCCCCTCCACCGTCAACCTCCGTCTTTCTAATGTAAATAATCCTAATCTACTCAACCTCTCTTCATAGTTAGCGCCCTCCATACCAGGCAACATCCTGGTGAACCTCCTCTGCACCCTCTCCAAAGCATCCACATCCTTTGGGTAATGTGGCGACCAGAACTGTACGCAGTATTCCAAATGTGGTCGAACCAAAGCCCTATACAACTGTAACATGACCTGCCAACTCTTGTACTCAATATCCTGTCCAATGAATGAAAGCAATCCGAATGCCGCCTTGACCACTCTATCGACCGGCGTTGCCACCTTCAGGGTACAATGGACCTGAACACCCAGATCTCTCTGCATTAATTTTCCCCAGGGCTTTTCCATTTACCGTATAGTTTGCAACTGGTAGAGTCATGTTCGTGCAATGGAGTGGCTTTACTATGCCAAATGACTTGTCTTGCAAACTGGTTTCCTGTGAAAGTAAAAGATTCCTATATGATTCTACCCTAATAAAATGGAAAGTTGGGCTGAGACGAGTTCTAGCTATTACCTACTGGCAGCCATGTCTTTCTGATAACTATGAATTCGTGTATTTGACTTCGAACCTAAAGTTGTCCTTTCACTGTGTAGATAAAACATTGATCTCTTTGCTCCAATTACAGCATTGTTTTCACCAACTATTTCTAATGTGCGATACTGGTTGTATAGGTTTCTGTACATACCGTTCACATGTTTTGTCTTTACATGGTTTTATTTCCCTTGCTGTTTGGATGGTATAGAGCACTACTGTATGCCTGCAGTTTCTTGTTGAACTGTTTCAATCTAATTGTATATTATAGTGTATAAATTTCTGCTAAATATTGCATTATCTATTTTTCATAAATTGTCATAGCCTTGTATAATGTTTAGGTTTGAAACTAATGTTTTGGGACTCCTTTTAATGCAGGTGATGAGTTTTCAGCTAGTTTCCTAATTCGAAATGGTGCTCGTGTGAATGCAGCTACATATGGAGAGCAGGAGACACCTCTTCACCTTGTGGCCTCATACAGTCTAAAAAAGCATTCAGTAGAAGCAATGGCAGGAATGGCACGTATTGCACAAGCACTGTTGGAAACATCAGCCAATTCGAACATGCAGGACAGCAAAGGACGGTGAGCAGCAGTTGTCAATGTCTTCTGTCCTATCTAACCACCTGTGTTTGTGATAAATTTGGAACGAAGTGTGTGTTCTACCAGTATTTCTCCACTTGTATGTTTTCACACTTGACTCTTTTTTTTTTCCTGCTATGCTCCCTCTGGAGAACTGTATTCTATTTGAGTTGTTCTGGCAGTGGTTGTGGTATGAGTAGCAATACCATCTAGTTGAGTCATTTTGAATTGGGATTATAAAGATCTGAACTTAATCCTACAACCTGTTCAAATCCGACTGACCTTCCGAAGAAGCCATAAACTGCTTAATCTCATTCATGAGGCATTGTTCAGTTGAAAAATTGATAAACCTTCTGGATTAGGTGCATTAACTTGTGCAGCAGTGTTCTTATGAAAACTATGTATTGGTCAGTAACTCCTTTTACTGAGATCTCCTCCTCATTTGCACAGGACACCTTTACACACCTCTATACTGGCAGGCAATGAGTATGTTTTCACACAGCTGCTGCAATGTAAACAGTAAGTATGAGTCACAAATTTCATCATTGCTTTTTCTGAGAGCGCTTTGATTCTTGAAGTGAAATTGGTTCATTTGTGTTGTGCAATCCAGCATGTTATTTTAAATGTCTTTGGCCAATGTATTTTTGTAGATGTGACCTGGAGCTGAAGGACCATGAAGGAAGTACAGCACTATGGTTAGCACTCCAGGATATAACAGTGGACTCTGATCAGTCGGTGAACCCATTTGATGATGTTCCAGTTGTGAATGGCACCTCATTTGATGAGAATAGTTTTGCGGCAAAACTTATTAAGCGGGGTAGTAATCCGGATGCTCCCGATGCAAAAGGTGAGAAACCAGCAAATACACAATGGCAACATTAAATGTGTACAGACTAATACTTCCTACTGTGATGTAATCCAGAATATAATGTACACTGCAACAAGTTGGTTTCGCACTGCAGAGAAAAACCAGAGGGGACGTTGATGTAATCTGTAGAGCTTGCAAACTGCAGCTCCTGTAAGCTGGTGTTGTTGGGGTCCACATTAAACAGGGAAAAGCCAAGAAAATTACTCTACCTTAGGGTGGAGCCAGCCTTTGAATGTAGCTGCATTCATCCAGGGAAGCAATGCATATACACACAAGCATTGGAGTGTCAGAATACCTGCAGCAATTATCTAGCTTCTAATCAAACCAAGATAGCCAATACAATATGGCAAGAATTAATGGTAAACCAGAGAATTAGGAAAATATTTTAAAAACCCACAAAAATGACGAAAAAAGAAAATAAGTTGAGGGAAACTAGCAAGTAATATAAAGATGGATAGTAAGAGCTTATTTAGAAATATAAAAAAGAGCAAGGCCAAAGTGAATGTAACCCTGAGGCTGAGGAAATAATAATGGAGAGCCAGGATATGGCAGAGAAATTGAATAAACACTTTGCTTCAGTCTTGACTGTAGAGGCCACTTTTTATAGCATTCCATAAATACTAATTAATCCAAACCTGAAGGGATGGGGGAAGAAATAAACACACTATCACTAGAGAAATGTACTAGGTGAACTAATGGGTTGTATGCTAGGATTGTGAAAGAAGTAGCTGTAGTGATAGTGGGCTATTAGTAATCTTCCAAGAGTCCTTAGATTCTAGACAAATCAGAATTGTTACATAAACAAATATAATTTGCTATTCAAAAGGGGATAGAGACTAAAAAAGCGTAAATATAGGTCAGTCAGCTCAACATCTGTTATTTGGAAAATGTTAGTCTATTCTAAAGGATTTTAATGGTCGAGCAATGAGAAATACATAACTTAGTCAAGCAGAGTCAGTATGAAGGGAAATCCTGCTTGAAAAATTTATTAGGGCTCTTTGAAATAGCAAGCAGGATAGATAAGAGAACCAGAAGATGTAATATATTTGATTTCCAAAAGGTGTTTGATAAAATGCATTGCACGCAGTACTCGCTGAAATAAGAGTGTATAGTATTGCATGTAGTATATTAGCATGGACAGAGGATTGGCTAACTAATAGGAGACCAGAGTTGGGATACATGGAATTTTCAGAATGGCAACCTGTAACTGGTAAAGTGCTGGAGGGATTAGTACTGGAACCGCAAATATTTACAATGTATGTTAATCCATTGGATGAGGAAAGCAAATGTGCTATCGCCAAGTTTGTGGATGACCTGAAAATAGGTGAGATGACAAGTGGTGAGGATGTCACCATCTACAAAGGGAAACACCACAGGTTAAGGGAGTGGGCAAAAGCTTGGGCAGATGGAATCGAATGTGGAAAATGTGATGTTGTGAACTTTGGCAGGAAGAATAGAGGAGCTGAATATTATTTAAATGGGAGACTGCAGAAAACTGCAGCTCAAAAGGATTTGGAAGTTCTCGTGCATGAATTGCAAAAAGCTAGTATCTAAGTTCAGGTAATAGAGAAAGCAAATAGACTATAACAATGTGGAGGTCTTGTATAGTTTTAGCAAGGTACTAGTTTGACCACATTGGGAATACTGAACAACTTTGGTTGCCTTATCGAAGGAGAGGTACGCAAGCATTGGAGACACCCTAGGCGAACCTTCGCTGGATTATGAAGGGAATGTCCTATGAGGAAAGGTTGAGTAGGTTAGGCTTGTACACATTACTGTTTTGAAGAATGAGTAGACCTTATTGAAAGTACAGGATTCTTAGGGGTCTTGACAAGGTAGATGTGAAGAGGTTGTTTTCCCCTTTTTTTGGGGGAAGTCTAGGGACAGGACACAATCTCAGAATGAGGTGTTGCCCATTGAAGTCACAGATGAGGATTTTTGAGGGTGGTGAATATGTGGCCTTTCTTACTGCAGAGAGCTATAGAGATTTGGTTGTTAAGTATATTCAAGGTTGAAATTGATTCACTTACTGATTTCTAAATCTAAAGTCACAGGGATAAGGACAGGAAAGTGCAGTTGAAGATTATCAAGTTGACCATGATCTCATTGAATGGTGGAGCAGGTTTTGGGCTGAATGGCCTACTTCTGCTCCTATATCTTTTTGTCTTTGGGATATCCCAAAGTACTTTGAAGAAGTTAGAAATGTGGTAGCTGATGTATGCACAGTACAAGTTAGTAACTTGGTTAATTTATTATACTGGTGTAAATTGACAGATTATTGGAAACCAGATACTGTAGAAGTACTTCAGTAAGATGATGGAGGACATTATGTCCAGCTGAACAAACAGTTTAACATCTGATGTAAAGTGTCACGTTAAGTGTCACCTTGGCTTGCTATCCTTTTGTGAGAATTGGTTTAGTTTGTGCCCTGTGAGGTCAATTTTGATCTTAGCTGATGACAGTCATGGATAGATAAGAGTGCAGTTAATCAAGTTTAGTGCTGGTCAGGCAGCTTCTGTGGAGAGGAAAAAGAGTTAATGTTTTGAGTTGGGTATGACCCTTTTATGAAACTCCATTTATATTTCCCTTATCTTGTGGTTTTATGTATTTTTTTTAGTTTTCCCTAAAATTGAAGTGTGTGTCTCTAATGTAATGAATGAAAATGTTCTGATTTCTTCTGGAAACACAAGTTGCTAAATTCCTAAATGACCCCCAAAATGAAGAAACTATCAACAAAAATTATTTTAGTTCTGACTCATATGAAAGTTGTAAATTAGATATAAATTAAGAGAAGGATATTGTGCTAAGAAGATAAATTTAAATTGTCAATACAATTATGAACCATCCTGCTCAACTGTAGCATGTTTGTCATTGGAGTAGTTCCATTATTCCACAACATGCTGTTCTTTATTCAGGCAGGGTAGGTTTGGTTAGGAGTCTTAACTATTCTCATAAAACCCAGATGAAACCATCAATGAGACATTTCTGTGAACCCTCTTCTTCGAGCTGCAGCAATTCTGGTGTAGTTTTCCAAAGTTCCTTTTCAAGCAACCCACTAAAACGCCCTAATTCACAGTTTGGCCACTTCAGAGAACACACCAACTCTTTATTGTCTGAGCTATTCACACAACTTTCCAGAATAAATCTCTGGTCACTTTTTTTTTATTAGCATTTTAATGTTTAAAGACTTCTCAAGGCTGTGTCTTTGTAGTACAGCAGTCCTGTTGGGAATTATTTCCAAGAGCATTGCATCTGCATCTGCATGTGCTACATTGTAATTATAGGAATTTATACTGGAGAAATTGCTGAATTGCTAACATAAACTTGTCATTTCGATGCATGGGACACCCTAGACAAGAAGAAACTCTTCCTAGAATCATAGAATCCCCACAGTCATGTTGTAATTGCCAATGGTGTTGGAGGCCAGTTTGTGAAGGAAGTTTTTGTGACACAGTGGCAACATCCCCTACCTCTGAACTAGAAGATCCAGGATCTCAGGACTTGACGTAAGGGGCATTTATAACACTGCCTAATAAGTTGATGATTAACTTGCACTGACGTACCTAACGCACAGGTGGTAAGAGCAAGCGTTTCTGTTCAGATAGAGCTCAGGTAGTTGCAGCGTAACAGCCTTCCCATGGTAAAAGACTCCACATGCTGGCTCTTAACATGAGCTGTATTCTGTGACAAGTGTCAGACTGCATGTGTGCGACAGATTCTGTAAATAACTTTTCCATAATTGTAATAAGTTTTAGAATTTGCCTTGTTAGCAAGTAGTAGATATTCAGTTCATAACATGACATGGAGGTACTGGGGTGGACAAAGTCAGAAATCATACGACACCAGGTTTATTTGAAAACACAAGCTTTTGGAGCCTCAGTCCACCTTCAGGTGTTAGTGAGAGAGGTAGTATCAGACACTTTTTTTATAAGTAAAAGATCAAGGGTCGCATCATTGAGGATTTACTAAACAAACCTAAGATGCTGTTAAATCTTTAATCATTTAGAAGGTTTTAACTGATATGTAAATCCCCAAATTCCTTTCAAGTCACGGTCCTGAGAGCTAAAGGTTTTATCAGTGTAAAGAAGGGGTGACATTTTAAGTAAGATAATGCATGTTAGGTGTGAACCTTGTTTAGAATCAGTTTAGAATTGGTTAATAACAGTCATAGCTGGATAAGAATGCAGTTAATGAAGTATAGTGCTGGACAGGCAGCTTCTGTGGAGAGGAAAACTGTTAATGTTTTGAGTTGAGTATGACCCTTTTATGAAACTCTAAGGGTTTTTTATTTCCCTCATCTTGATGTAGTATAGTATGGCCTCTTAAAATGGTGACTGATTTTGTTTTAATTATTCCTCAGTCTCTAACCTTCAGCTGAACAATAGTCTTGACTCTGTGTAAATTGCTTATAGGACATTAACTACATAAAACTTGTGACACTGGAGGTTGAATATAAATTAAGATGTTGGCTATCTAAATGTGAAGTAGTAATCAATGGGGTATCTTTCCAATCTACTATACTGTTTAGAGGTTTCTAATATAGTGAACTACACTTCACTCTGCTAGGGAATTGTCTAATGCAAAGAGCGTCGGAGACTGGCAATGAAGCTGCTGCACTCTTCCTGGTTGCTCATGGGGCTAAGGTTAACCACACCAATCACTTGGTGAGTTTTTTGAGTTAATATTTTAAGGGATTGTCTTAATTTATAAGTGGGTGGTGGGGGGCACGGGTGATGAACGAAACCATTATAATGTCATTTATCACAACACATTAATGGTTTGCAACTTCCCTTGTGTGGACTGTCTTTGATTTTATCTCCATTGATTACACAGAGCAGAATTTAACGTAGAGTAGCAAAGCATAGTATGAAACTGCTTCAGTAGCTTTGATACATACTCACCCGAACAAGTGCATGCTTCTGTCTGCTAATGGGTGAATGTACCACTTAGCATGTTGACAAAAGAGTCAGACAGAAGACACCAAAGACTTAGCTTGTGATGTTAGTCTGAATTGACTTTGAATTGGGGTGAAAGGAGAAATTGACCGAAAAAGTTCTCATGATTGGACAACAAATCACCCTGATTGGACGTGTGGTGAGCATTGAACAGGAAGCGAGGGCCTGAAAGCCTGGTGTCAGCCACAGGCCTTCAACTTGGTGCTTGTAACATGCTTTAGGAAGTAAATGTTTGGGGCAAATAATATCACACTTTCCCTATATTTTGTCTTTCTACACCTAGTTCCAGTTGACTACTTCAAAATTTGCCATTATTTAACTGAATAGGAATTGAATGCAAGAGTAGAGGGGTAATACTTCAGTTATACAGGCATCGGTGAGACCTCATCTGGAGGACTGTTATGACAAGGAGAGAAAGCCAAACTAAATCAGCCTCTCTATCACTCGTTTCACTGTTTTGCACATTCAATGACCCTCAAAATTGCCCAATTTTTTTCTAATCAGACTTTAAGAGTAGATATCAGACATCAAAGTTATAACTTAAATAGAAATTAACACTTGGTTAAAGTTACAGTATTAATAATAGAGCAAAGCTAAGCAGCAAGGTAATTAATGTTAATGATTTAAACCCAATCCTCTTTGATCGTAACCCCCACTCTCAGACCCAATTAAGGGATAAATTAAAATGAACTTGTGTTGTAATTGGCCAGTTCAATAAGGCTTAACGATAAGTACCAGATCTTTGTGGAATCCTTGAGCAATGTGTTGTACTCCAGGGACACAGAATTGCATCTTACTCAAATTCCTAAGTCGCTGATAAATGTAAACCGTTTCCAGCAGGAACTGATGAATATTCAAAATTCAATAATTATTCTTTGTACATAAAACTAGAGTGTAAAACTTGAGTACAGCTTTGCAATCCAGCAGTTTCCAAGCACGCAGCTTTCTGTCTCAATAACAGTCAAAACCAGTTCAGTCTATGTTTAATCTCTTTTTTTCTACATTTGTGATTGGCTGGCCAGCACTGGCCTCCCCATTTATTGACTAGTGTAACATCCAACCAGCTGCCAATCCTCGAGTTTAACATTATCCTGGTGCCGAAATATCTGCAGTCAGCTTGCAGCGATAATTACCTGCAATATCTTTCTAGGCCAGTTACCATATGCAAACCTCAGTTGGCTTGCTGTCTCCTCCTCCTCCTTTAAAATAAGCTGCCGCTCAAAGTGCAAAGTTTGATTCTCAACTACAGTTCATAGTCCCAAACCAAAAATGAGAGACATTTGTCTCAACAGTATACAGTACAGTAATCACGCTTGCAGAAGGATGTTAATGCATTGGAAGCAGAGTGACTGGAAGCATGGGTTCAATTCCCCACGTTGGCAGAGGTTACCATGAAGAACTTTCCTTCTCAACCTCTCGCCTCACCTGAACTGTGATCCCAAAGTTCTCACTCCCGCACTAATGAGGGAACAGCCGTATTGTCCAGTGGGACTACCTTCTTCCTACATTAATACCGGGAAAGAGCAGAATGCCTTATGAAAGGCTAGACAGGCTAGTTCTCTATCGTCTAGAGTTTAGAGTCCAAAATGACTTAATTGAAACATAAGACCCTGAGGGCATTTGACCGGGTGCATGTCGAAAGGATATTTCCTCTTCTGGCAGTGCCTCGGACTGGTGGTCATGTTTTAATTGTGAGGCATGTTTAAGATGTCAATGAGAACTTTTTTTTTTTTGAGAGACTTTTTGCAATTCCTTTCCTCAAGGCAGCAGGTGCAGAATCTCTTTTGTGGCAGAGATCGATAGGTTTTTGCTTTTCAAGCAGATGAAAGATTATTAGGATATGCAGGAATGTAGAGTTGAGATTAAAATGAGATTAGCCATGATCTTATTGAATGGTGGAGCAGGCTCGAAGAGTCAAGTGTCATTCTCTTATTCCTTGTTCGTATGACCATTGAACTCTTTTGCTCCAACCCATATCGCCAACTTTGGCAAAATTGATTTTGGCCTGAATTTTCCAGAGCTAGAATTATCTGCAGAATAAACCTTTTCTATACCTAGTAGCATTGTCTGTTCCTCCACATCTTAAAAGGAGGACAGGATCAGTGATAAAAGACTTCAGTTAAGTGAAGATATGAGAGAAGCTGGAATTGGTGTATTCACAGCGAAGAAAATTTAAGAGGGAGATCTCAAGATGCTCAAAATGGTAGAGCAGATTGGGAGAAACTGTCTTTAAAGGTAGCAGCATCAATAGCCAGGAGTATGGTTTTGAGCGTTGGCCGAACAATTTTTTTAAATGTAGCCATTTGATTTGGAATGCATTGCTTGAAAGTGCATTGAAAGCAACATTTTAAGGATTTACAAATGAAATTGGATACAGTCAATTCCAGTTGTTGATGCATCCTCCCTTTGTAAAGTCACTTGATAAGGAAATGAGTTGCAGGTCAATGGGGAAAATGTGGAAAAGTGGACAATTTGGAATAGCTCTTTCAAAGGATGCAAGATGTCTTGTTTCGTTCCATTTAACTTCTCTGTTTTCTATTTGGAATAAGATTGACAAGGACCATTTGTACTAGATTGACAAATCTATATTTTGTAATAGATATTAGCAGGTGAAGAATTTTTTTTCTATACTAAATGCTAAGCTGTACCATTGCCTTAAGGTTAAAGGCTGTACATAGTGACTATCCCACAATGCATAATTCTGCATAGCATAAATTCTAACTTGATATTTTTCCCTTAAATTAAATTATATTCCATGGTAAGATCTATGATTGCAGCATTCTTTTCCCTTTCCATCCCCTTCGCTGTGCTTTGTTTAGGGTGAAACTCCCCTCCACACAGCGTGTCGTCGTGGCCTGGCGAATCTCACAGTAGAACTACTGCAGCATGGAGCGAATCCTAACATCCAGACCAAGCGACCACTTTCTGTTAGTACAGGTGTGTCGCAAGACTCAATGGACAGTCTCTCCCTGCAGACACCGCTTCACATGGCAATAGCACACAATCATCCTGATGTGGTGTCGGTGATACTGGAGCAGAAAGGTAGGGTTACTCCTCCCTCTCAGTTGATACCAAAGCTTCAGTTCCTTAGTGAGAAGGACCGGAAACTTGTCTACAAATGGTTGAGCGCTGCTTGGTCAGATTGAGAAGGAAACTTGAGTTTGAATCTCCAGACTCTCTCTTTATTTCTCCTTCCTTCCTTTCCTGTCCTCTTTAGAAAGGAGTTTTGTTAGGATTTGCCTAATAACTTTAAAAGTTTTATTCTCTTCAATATGCAGTATTGAACTTCCATTTGCTACAAAATGAGATCAATTCGCCCTATCACAGAGGCTGTTATGGTGCAGTGGTAGTGTCCCTCCCTCTGGGGCAGGAGGTCTGGTTTCAGGTTCCACCTGCTCCAGGGGTGTGTAATAACATACCCCAAACAGGTTGATTTTTAAAATAACTGAATTGTCATTGTTGACTTTGTTTCTGTGGTTGATTGGTGAAATATCGCGATTGTACTTTGGAGCATTACCACAGAAATACGAAACTGTTAATATTTCAAATTTGAATTTCCAAAGCATGTCTGCATATTTGTCTCTGTTTGTGTAAATATTTTGGGACACTCCTTTTGAAAATGTTAGACATCAGTGTAACATGCTTACAAAGTTGGAGAGATCTTTGCTTGCTTCAAGACTTGGCAGTTAAATAGTTCCTGTTCTTTGAGCTGTTGTTTCAGTCTATTCATTTTACACTAGGCATAACTGAACGTGACATTTTGATCTCAAACTGAGAGGTAAAGAAAAGTAACTTTGTTTTTTTTTTGATCAACTCAGCAAATGCACTTCATGCAACCAGCAACCTACAAATCATTCCTGACTTCAGTCTCAAAGATTCAAGAGATCAAACAGTCCTTGGGCTGGCTCTTTGGACAGGTAATGATGAACGTATTTTTGTGTTAAATTCCATTCCCTTTGTCCTTGCGACTTTTAGAAGTTCTTTATAAATATTTCTGTTTCAGTGAAGCGGGTATTCTTGTAACCTGGGGTAAACTTGACATGAAGAGATAGGAAGATATCTATAATCTGTTATGATCTGATTTTGGAGTTATTGGAGAGTGAGTGATAAGTCAGCATTCATTTTACAAACAAAATACATTGCCTTTTATCTTTTAAGAAATTGGTCAATTTAAAAGACCTCAGGGAAGACTAATGATTTCTGGAAAAAATAATTTAAAAGATGCATTTTAAGTAACACCGTGACTTCTCTGCAATGTGCTATGAAGCCTGAAGGTTTAACCACAGGACTAACTGCACTCTCCCTGCAGGCATGCATACAATCGCAGCTCAGTTGCTGGGTTCAGGGGCTGCCATTAATGACTGCATGTCAGATGGTCAGACTCTATTGCACATGGCAATTCAGAGACAAGACAGCAAGAGTGCCCTCTTCCTCCTTGAGCACCAAGCTGATATAAATGTTCGGTAAGTGAGATACTGCATAGTACATAAACTGTACATGAGGAAATTGCAGAGAGTGATCTGTATTCTTTTCAGATGTGACTTTTGCAGGCTTATTCATTCTAATTCTGCTTTCATTACTAACATTTCTACCCTAATATAAATAATTTCTCAATTGCTGTTTAATCTTGATGTTTCATTCTTTATTTAATTTTTGACAGAACCCGTGATAGTGAGACAGCTCTTCAATTGGCCATCAAGAACCAGCTGCCGCTTGTGGTTGATGCCCTCTGTACCCGTGGTGCAGATATGTCCGTACCAGATGAGAAGGGGAGTGCACCACTGTGGTTAGCCCTGGAGAGTGGACTTGAGGACATTGCCTCCACCTTGGTGAGTACCCTCAACACTGGGCTGAACCCTTTTCATAGTTTCAAGTACTCCAGCTCCATGAAATAAAGATCAAAAGTGCAATTTTTCTGCAGTTTAAAAAAAAAAAGTCCCACCTTTTGGGTATTAAAATAAATGCGCCAAGCCAGAAACCTCCCCTGTCAAGCTTTAGTTCAAGCTCTCTCCGTCCTACAAAGTGTCGCGCTACGTGTTCTGTTTGCTTAAAGTATTTCATTTTATAAGGTTTGCAGTACAGAAACTGGCTGCTTAACCTATCAAGTCGACACCAATGTTAAAGCTCCACACAAGTTGTCTCTTTTTCTATTCCCCTCACGCATCAACATTCTTCTACTCCTTTTCACCTCTAACTATGACCTTCTTTTAAATTCATCCGTTCACTATTCCGTGTAGTAATGAGTCCTGCATTTTAATGTCGATGACACGGTTTGTCTTGTATTTCTTAGTGTTTGATTTGCTGGTGACTTCTTATGACCCTAGTTTGAGATGTACCCGTCTACCACCACCACAATGGAAGAAATTTATCTATTTTTAAACCTAATAATAATTCAGGGTGTCTTCTTTTGCATCCTCATCTTTCCCTATCTATAGGAAGAGGGGTGGTGGCATTGGAAAGCTTTCTGCACATGGACACCAGAAGTCCAATTATAGATTTAGATCACCGGTCTAGATTTGTTTTTTCCAGGTAGTGTTTCTGACAGTATAAATTCTTTAACACTAGAGCAAGTTCCCTTCTGAACCAGAAATTCATCATACCAACTCCAGCATTATGCCAGCTTTTTTCAGATGATTTCTGACGTGATCCATTTTGTATATTTCTGATATCTTTTGTGAATATTGAGCTTTGCTTTAAATGTCTTGCTTAGTTACTCCTGTTGTTCTTGGTTGCATTGCATGTTGAGTCAGATTACAAGTCCACAACCTGATGTGTTGAATTACATGTAAATCAGTGCAGAGATCATTAATTGAAATTGAATATGCCAGATTTGCAAGCCTCAATTGTTCCAAGTACATTGCTAACCACAAATGGGATGTGGATTAAGTGTTACATATAATAAGAACCATTTGAGCAAAGCTTAGGTAATACCCTCCTGTAATGTCATTGAGATACTGGAGGATGGCCAATTCCTGCAGCACAGTACCTGTCGTATTGGTGCCAACAGAGATCCGGAATGGTAAAGGGGCAATGTAAAATGCTCTGTAGCTCGCGTTTAAAGTGCACTATAGTGATTGGAATCAGGTTGGCCTCATTAACTGAGGTCCTTGATTGGCCAGGTTAACCACCCCAATCAGGAAATCAGAAATACTGGCTGACCAATATAATGAGATTTAGAATTGCCTCTCTTCAGAGGGCAGACTCCGAGCTGGCTGGTCAGAGCCCATGTACTGTGCACAAGTAAATAAAAGGTGTCTTGGTGATGGGATACCAGCCTCTGTTCAGTTATTTCATGAACCTTTGACTCTGAAATTGCAAGTTATAGCCATTGACCCCAGAAGAGTTCAATAAGAAGCTTTATAACCCCTCCAACATTTTGGACTTGGGCTCTGTTTTTAAAACAAATTCCCAAGATGATAAATCATTGGATAGTATAAGGTAGGGTTGGAGGTTACCTAGACCTTAGGTTTAGGGTAAAAGTTTGGCTCAGCATCGTGGACCGAAGGGTCTGTACTGTTCTGTGGCCCTCAGTCCTTTTTGGAAATAAGCGAATTAGATTTTGGATGTATGTAGTTGCATTCTCTCTCTTCTTTTCTTGCCTGAGAAAAGAAAACAGCCTTCTGTATTTGTGTGCTGGAATTGGCTCTGGCAATCATTTTTAATGAAATGCTGTGCTTCCAAAACTACAAACATATGTGTAGGCTTGTGGATCAAGCATGTTGGTACATTTGGCCCCACTAATTTTCTGCATAATTTTGAAGTACCATGTTCTCTCCTTCTCAGTTGCAGTAAGTCTTTAAAAGCAGAAATGATACTTCGCTGTATTTCATCAGGTGAAAATGGTTGGTTGTGTCCAGAACACACTCATTTTGGCAAAGCTAGCCTAACTTGAAGAATTAAATCATTGTCATATCTAAGGTTACAATTTCTATACCAAGATAGGATGGCAAAGTAACATTATCTGGTACGCATCTAGATTGGGTGGCGTCTGTTTTAAAATCAAAAATGGTTGTTAGGTAACAATATGAATTGAATGAAAACATGCCTTGACATTCTGCAACTTGCAAAGGCGTTGAGGTCTCCACCTTGTGACTTTCCTCACTATAAACACTGAAGGGGAATGTACTTTGACCGTTTTTTTTAGTCAGTTGTTTTTGCAAGCACTTTGACTACATTTATGTAGGAATAGTGAAGCTTGATGGGTATACAGGAGATTTTTTTTGGTGGACCACACCAGTTGGAAGGGTGCTGCATAATTTTACTGTATTTGGGTTGTCACATGGGTGCCAAGTAATGTGGGTCCATGGAAAATGAATTCAGCTAGAATGCCACTAATGGCAGGATAGTCGTCACTGCTACCCAAGGATGCTTTTTTTTAAATCCAGTCTGTGTAAACTTGATTTGAAGGGTAATCAGTTGTGTGTAGTAACTATTGATGTCTGTTTGTCATGGCTCAGTAATGGCACTTGGATTTCTCTGCTGCAAGGCTGTGGGTTCAAGTTCCATTACAGAGGCTTGTGCATCAACTTTAGTCTGAATGTGCTGCTGTTTGAGATTCCATCTGGCCTCTCCAGATTTAAAAGATTTCACTGGATTAATGGAAAAGAATGGATCACTGTATCCTAGCTAATATTTATTCCTCAATCAATTGTTACTGAAACAGATTGCCTGACTCTCATCCTATTGTGGTTTGTGGGAGTTTATGCAAATTATCTGCCTCATTTCTTCCATTATAACAGTAACTACACTTCAGTAATTTCAGTGACTTTCCCAAACAAATGGAGCTTCCTGAGATCACTTATAAATTGCATTTACATTTTTTTATCTGTGCCAGAAAGATTTAAACCTTTGGAAGAGTAGAAAAGACCAAGTCAAAAAGGCTGCTCGCTTCATAGCAGCAGTGTATTTGTTGTTTGTTTTTTCTTGTTTAGGAACAGCCATTTACAAGGAAGCGTAGGCATTCTGCAGAATTTAGTCTGTGCTTAACCTCCGTCACAAACATGTGCTTTACACATCTGTGGAGGATGCTTTTTTGATTTGGACTAATACTTCCACCAGACCAATTTCTCAATTACTTTATGTAATTGGGATGTTACTCCTCTACATATCACACCTAAGCTTCCAAGTGGCATTTTACAAAGTTCCAAATGAGTAGCTTTCACTGATCTCAGCTATATTGACCAAATTCTCCTGTCTGCTTGGATCAGGCTGCACCATAATACTGCATTTGAATTAGCCGGTGAAAAGGAGACCATTGCTGATTACCTTGAATAAGCAGAGGGTTTTCCACAGATGAAACAACGAACGTGCAGAGTTTACTTGGGCTATATGGTGTGGAAAAGGCTATTCGGTCCAACTGGACTATTCTGTTGTTCATGCTTCCTCCCTTTGTAACTATCTAATCCCTTCCTTCTCCCTCATCCTGTTATCTAGCTTCCCTGTCAGTGTAGCTATACTTTTTATTTCTGCCACTCCCATGGCAGAATGTTCTACATTCTCACCACTCTCTTTCTCGGTGACCAGATTCTTCTGAATCCTCCACTGAATTTTTTTGGGTAATTATCTTCCATTGGTTAAATGCCTACATGCTGAAGCTTTAAATTTAAAGGATGTGATTGTGGCATGGTGGAAGGGTTTTGGGGAGGAAAGATATGAAGTAAATAGGTTCTAGACAGGCAGTGCAAATTTTGCAGAGGTTAGTAATGGGACAGAAGAGTCAGTGTTGTGTGTTACACCACTGAAGGACTTGATTTGGTGAGCAGAATTTAGAGCAGACAGGGTTTTTGAGTTGAAAGGAGGGGATTTGGAGAAATTGACCCTGGAAGTGACCAGTGCATTAATGGAAGTGAGCAATGTGGAAAACTAGAGTTTGCACATCCTGGTTCTCTTGTACAAGTTTTTATTTGGGGGCAAGCACTTTGTTAAAGTAGGTTTCCACATTGCAGGAATTCTGATTTGTTGTCCATCCTTAATTCTGTTTAGAAGGTAGTGGTCACTCTCTCCTTAAACTTCTGCACTCCATGTGACATTGGTGTACACAGTGCTGCTAACAAGGGAGCTCTAGGATTCTCACCCGGTGACGGTAGAGGGCCAACAGTATAGCTCCAAGTTGGGATGGTGTGTGGTTTGGAGGGGATTCTAGCAAATCATGATCCAGTGCATCTGCTGACCTTGGCCTTGTCCTGTGGAGGAGAGCGCAAGTTTTTAGGAAATATTGTTGAGGTGACCGAGTGTGTTATTGCAGTGCATCTTGGAGAATGTACAGAATGCTGCCAGCTGAAGAGGGTGTAGTAGGTGGTAATTAGCAGGAGGTTTCCTTGCCCATGTCTGCCCTGATGTCATAAAAAAACCTCATGGTATGAGGTGTCAAGGTTGAGGACTCTGAGGGCACCTCCCTACCAACAGCATATCACAGTACTGCCACCACTATGGTGTCTGGGTCCTTGTTTGTAAAGTATGATTCCATGAGTGAGGTAGTCTGGCAACTAGTTTAGGCACTAGCTGTCTCAATTGTGACATAAGCTCCTAGATCTTTAGTAAGAAAGACGTTGTAGGGTCAATGGGAATGCCATTTTCAATAAAACAAAAGAACTGTGGATCTGAAATAAAAACTGAAATTGCTGGCGAAACTCCACAGGTCTGGGAGGAAAACAGAATTAATGTTTCTGATGAGTCAGTGCACTCAACGTCAACTCTGCTTTCTTCCTGTAGAAACTGCCAGACCTGAGGTTCACCAACAACTTCTGATGTTTTTAGTACCTAGATTGGTGCTGGTGGTCCGTTTTGGTTTTATTCCTCTCTTTGATGCTGGATCAATTAATTTTAAAACATACTTATTTGTATTTTTATTTATCTGTCAAATGTATTAAAGGATCTAGGGCAAAGATGGGTATATGAAGTTGGTTTGCAGATCAGTTATCATCTAAATTAATAGTGAAGGAGCTTGAGGGACTAACTAGCCTACTCCTGTTCCTATGTCCAACGTGGCAAGCTTCACCTTAAACTGGAACCTCTGTCTAATTTCAGGTTAGACATGGCTGTGACGCAACATGTTGGGGTCCTGGACCTGGGGGTTGTATGCAGACTCTGTTGCATCGAGCTATTGATGAAAATAATGAAAACTCTGGCTGTTTCCTCATTCGCAGGTATAGATTGTGATGTTATAACTGCCATCTTTTGATTATTGTTTGCAAAATTGCTTTATACTCCTTAAGGCTGCTTCCTAACATAGCCTGCTTTGTAGAGTACAATTTTTGAAGCAAAACTTAAAGTACTGTTCCAACTAATTCCAAATATTAAAGTCTAAGATGTTCAATTATTAGTGACTTCCATGATTCTTGCAGGCACCATACAGCTTGTACACGGGGAGAGAAGGTACTGTGCATCATATCTATAGCCATCTGCTGAACAGACTCATAGAGCACGGAAATGGACGCTTTGGTCCAACCAGTCTGCGCCAAACATAATTCTAAACTAAACTAAACTAGTCCCACCTGTCTGCTCCTGGCCCATATCGCTCTAAACCATTTCTATTCACGTATTTAACCAAATATCTTTTTAAACGTTGTAATTGTACCCGCAAACACCACTTCCTTAGGAAGTTCATTCCACACATGAACCACCCTCTGTGTTTAAAAAAACAAAATTTGCTTTGTGTCTCTTCTAAATCTATCTCTCTTCTCTTCTTAAAAATATGTCCCCTAGTTTTGAAACCCCCCATCCTAGGGAAAAGACAACTACCATTAACTCTAACTCTATTTATGCCCCTCATTATTTTATCAACTTCTATCAGGCTACCTCTTACACTCCAGTGGGGAAAATTCCAGCCTTTACAAATCAAACCTTCCATACCCAGCAACATCTTGGTAAATCTCTTCTGAACTCTCTCCAGTTTAATAATATCCTTCCTATAACTGGACAACCAGGACTGAACGCACTATTCCAGAAGAGGCCTCACCAATGCCCTGTACAACTGCAACATGACTTTCCATTACTCCAAGGACTGAGCAATGAAGGCAAGCATGCCAAACTCCTTTTTTCAACCACCCTGTCTTTATGATGCAGACTTCTAAGAATTATGTACCTGTATCCCTAGGTTCCTCTGTTCTACAACACTGCCCAAGGCCCTACCATTAATTATATAAGCCCTACCCTTGTTTGTTGCACCAAAATGCAATACCGTGCATTTATCCAGATTGAACTCCATCTGCCATTTTTCAGCCCACTAACCCATTTGATCCAGATCCCTCTGTGATTTTAGAAAACCTTCTTCACTGTCTACAATGCCATCGATGTTGGTGTCATCAGCAAACTTACTAACCATACCTTCTATATTTTATGTAAATGACAAACAAAAGAGGACCCAGAACTGTTTCCTGGTGGAATACTACTGGTCATAGGCGTCCAGTCGGAAAAGCAATTCTCCTCCATTACTCTCTGCAAATTCATTGTTTAGAAGTTGGTCACAACAGAACGACCAGTGATGCAGCCTTTACTTTCTGCTGTTTGGTTTTTTGGGAATATCTGATAAATGATGCTCATGATCTGTGAATATTCTTCCATTGCATGAGAGCAATGGTCTAACCCTAACACTGTTTAGTGAATGAGTTTCTCCTCTGACGATTATAAGACAGAGTTCCTGAAAACACACTCAAACAACTGTTTAAGTATGGCACAATGTTTATTTCTGGAATCGTGCTTAAAAATTAGCAAGTTGTATAGGCTCCAATTTTACAATAGAAAAACCTCCATGATCTTTCTAAATGTGGTGTGAATAACATACATTTGGTTAATGGCTAGATTTTGATCCTCCTGGATGAGGAGGAATGATTCAGCATTTTTAAACAGCTAAATCAATTAGAAAGCTAAGACATAACACACAGGTTGGTGGATACATCTGCAGAGCTACAATGACCCTCTCTCCTTTTTCACGTCCAGCGGGTGTGATGGAAACAGTCCAAGACGACCAGGTCCCAATGGTGAAGGTGATGAGGAGGCACGTGATGGACAGACACCATTGCACATGGCAGCAAGCTGGGGTCTTGAAGAAATAGTGCAGTGCCTTCTGGAGTTTGGAGCTAACGTAAATACTCAGGTCAGTGATTTGTATATGAGAGAGATTCAATTCAAACATAGTTTGGCTGGCTGTGTATTTACTTGATATGCTGGGCTATATTTCTACATTGCAGAAACTTGAGGTCCCTATCCTTAGTCTATTATTGCTGCTACGACCCACTATTAAATAACGCATGAATCACCTGAAGTGTTTTAACCTCTTCCTGTGGTTAAGGGAAAAATAGCGGGTACTAGTCGTCAGAGAAAACTGGTTGGTGGGGAGGTGATGGGGGAAACGTGGGAAGAGTGCAATGAGAAAGTAACAAAATATTGTGTGGCTTATTTGTTTCTGAATATGACACAGCATATTTAGGGCGGCACGGTGTCTCAGTGGTTAGCACTGCTACCTCAGTGCCAGGGACCCGGGTTCAATTCCACCCTTGGATGACTGTCTGTGTGGAGTTTGCATATTCTCCCCGTGTCTGTGTGGGTTTCCTCCAGGTGCTCTGGTTTCCTCCCACAGTCCAAAGATGTGCAGGCTAGGTGGATTGGCCGTGCTAAACTGCCTGTAGTGTTCAGGGATGTGTAGCTTAGGTGGGTGAAAAGGGAATGGGTCTGGGTGGGATGCTCCAAGGGTCAGTGTGGACTTGTTGGGCCGAAGGGCCTGCTTCCACACCTGTGTAGGGATTCTAATCTATGATTCTATGACCTGAACCAAGCTCCCACATTATGCTGACAGTTGAAATAATCATGCCCCAAGCCCTGAGTCACGCCTTTTTAGGAATATCTTTTGTGCAGTGTTGGGTGAAAATAGTGTGATAGAGTTAAAGATGTCCTCTTTCATAACAGAAATACACACAAACCAGAAGGATTATTCGAGCGGTATCGTTAGGTACCTGGGCTAAGGCAATTGCTGCTGATCCCTTTTGCAGCAGTCTTAATGGGTGAGAGTGCATGGTGAAGATGAAATGGAGTTCTGAAGTAAAAGCAAAATACTACTTTCTGCTAGTTCCACTCTCCACTGACCTGCTGAGTCTGTGTTCATGTTTCAGGTCAACGACCTTTCATTACAATTTCCAGTTCTGATAAGAGGGTCACAACGTGAAACATTTAACTTTGTTCTTCTCCACAGATGCTATCTGACCTGAGGCTTTTCCAGCATTTTCTGGGCTCTGAATTTTTGACAGTATAACATTCATCAAAATAACACCCAAGCTGTTTGTGTCCCTCTCCTCACTGGATTTTGATGTTGTGTTGCTGATTGTCATTGTCCTAACTCTTCCATGGCTTCTCGAACAACTTAGCAGGTGGTGACCAAAAAATTGCCAACATTAGACGTTGTATCTTTTCAGAAACTGCTAATATGCTCAGTTTCAGAAATAAAATGACTTTAACGTGGTCCTGAATATTTTACTTGTCCATAAACTAAGTATCAACAGTTATATTTGGTGGAGACATTCTGATCGTGGAATGTCTTCACCTGTAACCTGGTAGGTTGTATGAAGCTGGTAGAGAACAGATTGTGTTGTAAATTCTAATCCTGCAGTAACACTGCTATAGATCAGTTGTGCTCAGATAATGAAGTGCCCTTTTTTTAATTTTGCAAGGATGCCGAGGGAAGGACTCCGATCCACGTTGCCATTAGCAACCAGCACGGTGTGATCATTCAGCTTCTGATCTCCCATCCTGATATCCGGTTAAACGTACGGGATCGGCAGGGTCTCACACCGTTTGCCTGTGCTATGACCTACAAGAACAACAAGGCCGCGGAGTCTATCCTCAAACGGGAGCCAGGGGCAGCTGAACAGGCAAGAGTGACATTTACCACATTATCGCTTTTTTTATTTTGTGCTATTTCACTTCATTTTGATATTTGAAAGAAATTGCTTGGTCTGATGGCTGCAGGGCTATAGAGTATTGAGGTCTGAGTTGGAAACTTGAAGTAGAGTAACTAGGTCCAAACTGAGAAAGGTCAGCTTAAGTGTTATCAAATTATTCAGCATGCTGTTTGAAGCTGTTATCTATCAAAACTAGTTATGTTTAGCAAAGTAATAAAAATACTTATTTTAGACCAGTACACTACTATTGGCAAATATGTTATTGGCAGTGGATGTGGCTGTATCTTTGCATAGTATTTTATCCCTATAACCTAGGTTTGAATCAGACGACAATGATGGGTTCCCTTAGCAGGTGTCTTGAGTGGCTTCAGGTTCTGTACTGAAAGCTGCCCTTAAGTGTGTTGTAGTTCAAAAATCATAGCCTGGCTGGCATGAGTATTTAGGGTAGTGACTATGTTCGCAAAGGTTTAATGGAATGAGAGATTTTGTATACGTTTTAAATACTGCTCCCTGATGTGGGGAAGAGCAAATCCGTAGGCAATCTGTATTGTAGTCACAAATATCAAATGAGGAATTCGGCAGAAACGCTTCTTTACTTGATGCGAGAATGTCTAACTTCATTTCAGTCACTACCAGTAGCAAAAGTGAATACAATAGATGCGTCTTAAGAAGCTAGATAAGTATACGCAGGAAAAGGAGGCAAAAGATTTTGATAATTAGATGAGCAAGGGAGAAAGGCAGATGGCATGGAGCACAGCCTGGCTGGATTGAATGGCCTGTTTTTATGCTTTGTTTTCTTTATAATGTTCTGATCAAAGATCAACTGTTGGTAGTGTTTATGATTCCAACTGTTGTCATAAATTAAATCCCAGACTGAAACCTCCTCTTGATAAATCCTGTTTTGGTTCTAATGAATTAGTCTATCACTAAAACATAAGCATGTACTGTTACAGATTCTATTTTAACAAAGAAAATTGATTAATAAAAGAAATTAAAATATCACAAATCAAATGATCTACTTAAATTCAAAGATTAAGCACCCCAGTAACCTTACCTTGGTAATTTATTTTTTTTTAAATCATTTGATGTATAAGATTCTGCAGTTCTAATAACTTCTTCCTGGTACTATTACAACACCTAAGCTTAAACAAGCCCAACTCTAAATTACTACTTCGGGGTTTTATCATAATACTTCTGATCTGGGGCTAACCCTAACTCTTTTTACTCTAAGGTAATCTAGTTTTACTGTAGCCTTCTCCTTGAGCATCGGTCTATACAGCTGTCTTCACAGGACTGCCCAAAACCTAAAGTAATACCATAAAAAAAAACTAAGACTTTGGACTGTTCCCCCGACAGCTTTTTGGAGAAAAAGAAAGTTCCATAAATCTCTACTGAACCTTGAGGCCCCGTTATTTAGCTTGCTGGTTCACAAAACAGTCTAAGTTGAACAAAAGTCCAGTAGTGATGCACAAAAATCCATTGATCCCAAAGCTAGGTATCAAAACATATTTTGTTTAAAAATACCATGCTACAGAAACATTTGGTAGTTAATTATTAACTTCAGACACACAGAAAACCCCCATGTTAGTAACCCAAAAACCAGTACAATAAATTGTTTTAAAGTTAGATATAAAACTCTTTACATCACACCTGCTGTAACCTAATGTCTAGCAACTAGTGTAAGGGAGTGACGTAAATGCAGTGGATTACTTTATGGTGAGGATTTTCTCACTTCTGAATCATTGTCCACAGGTTGATAACAAGGGACGGAACTTCCTTCATGTTGCTGTACAGAACTCTGACATCGAGAGTGTGCTCTTCCTGATTAGTGTGCAGGCGAATGTGAACTCACGAGCGCAAGATGCATCCAAGCTTACACCGCTGCACCTGGCAGTACAAGCAGGCTCTGAGATAATAGTCCGCAATTTGGTGAGCACAATGTGTTAGTACACAGATTTCCTGAAGTGCTTATTGCCTTCCCCTGGTGTGCTGTAACTCTATTCTACCATTTAATATTTGATAAATGAACTTTGCAGCAACTTTCAAGAAAGGTTTGGGGCTTAGACTTTCTTTTAGACCAACCATTTGAGGGAGCAAAGCTGATACTAAAACATCACAGACTGAAGATGACCTGCAACCGTTTAACTCTGCTAGAGTAGAGATTGAATTGAAATCCTGAGGGGAAAGAAAAAGCAATGATCTCTTTTAAATACACAATGACCTCAAAAATGAGATCCCTTTTGAGGAACAGCTTTTGGAGTGGTATCCTGTCTCAAGTTCACCCTTGTCTCGCACCCAGTGGCATGAGGGCAGTCCTATTGTTCCAGGACTTTAGACTCAACCTGTCAAAATCTAGTAGATGGTGCACTTAAGAATCAAAGAGGCAACGTGATATTTGTCGAATGAGTCTCAATTAGACATCTGGGGGTGCAGATATTGAAATCATCATTAAAAGTAGCACCATACAAAGTGCAAACTGAAGAAATGAATTGAAAAGTAGTGAAGTTAAAATAAACTTCATAGAATCTTGAGTAACGCTTAACTGTGCACAATCGTTAAATGCAGTGGAATTTAATCTAAGAAAAAAGTGCAAATTTAAATGGTCATCTGTTCATAGCTTGCATTCCTGTGCAATACCTATAAAGTGAAGAATTATTTTTAAGCTATTGTTCTGTTGTCAGCTACAAGACCATGATAGCTCTGTACCTTGAATTATATTCTGGTATTTGTTTGGTAACCAGGAATAATTGAGGTTTCACACATTCTCGCTAATGATTCTTTGGAAACATTTTGCTTGTGTATTCTCTACCTGTTCCATTTCACCTGCCTGCTCATTGTACTGTCCCCGTCTGTTTAAGGATTAAAATCTGCAAACTGAGTGTAAGCCTCTGATGTACATGAGCTTAGCGTATCCCTACACTGCAACTCATTCCTGATTTTTAATTTAAATATTGCACTACTGAACCTAGGGATTATACCATGTGGTCCCAGACTCCCAAATAAAGCGCATTTGGGCAATTCCATTGGATATACTTCACACTTGCAAGGCTTTTATTTTTCAATTGAATATCCCTGTTTTCTGTTGAGTTGTATATAATTTGCTTTTTATGTTCCCCCTTTTTTTTTTGTCCTGCTGCAGTCAAATTAAAGTGCTCTTTGGTTTTGATTGTTGTTTCGTGGTCCATCTTATTCAAGTAAGTATTTTCCTGTGTTCCAGCTGCTTGCAGGGGCCAAGGTGAATGAGCTAACGAAACACCGTCAGAATGCTCTCCACCTGGCAGCTCAACAAGACTTGCCAACTATCTGCTCGGTGCTTCTGGAGAATGGTGTGGAATTTTCTGCTGTTGATGAGAATGGAAACAATGGTAGGAGACTTTTGCGCAAAATGAGTAAACAGTTGTGACCTCCTTGTTAAACTTGCTTTTCAAAATCACTTTCTCAACTCCACTGCAAAAAATGTTTTATACGACCTTGAATGCAAAATGTCACAAGGCATCATGTCGAAGATTAAATTTGACAATATAGCCAGAGTGTGCCATTTTAGGAACAGTCATACAAGATATTAAGTGATGAGATGCAGTTCCAGAACTTGGCGTGTGTTTAGATAAAGGCATAGCTCCGAGTTAAGCAAATGAAATTGAGGATTCATGAAGACAGAAATGGCCAATGAAGGAAGATGTCTTTCGTGTAATGGCTCTGTCTCCATCACAGATGTTTCGTAACACTTACTTTCTTACCTGTTGCCCACAGTTGGGCTCATTTTCAGGTGTTTCAATTTGGGAGCATTTCTATTTAACCCTCTTCCTTCATTTAGATGGAGCACAGGAACCAGTGAAGAGAGTGCAGCAAAGCAATAGTTGCACAAGAGATTCCAGGCTGTGCTGAGGCTATGTGGGGAATTGAAACAGCTTTGGTTATTGGGCATTTTTCCTTTCTTTGTGCATTTGACTGGGAGGATTCTGGTCAGTTGGGAATACTTTCTGTGGAACTGCATGGCTTTAGTCTGGGTATAAGTGAAGTGTCCTAATTGGGTATCGAAAGCAGTGAAGGATCTGTAATAAGTGGAGCAGATAAATGATGTCATGAGGCCAGGGCCATGTTGTGTTTGGCAACTGACCTTGGAACTAGAATAATTAGCCTCAGTCAGTGGTTGGATATGGTGCTGTGTATGGAGCAGATGAAGAGCATTTGTGTACCTAAGTGATCTGTAAGAGAAAAGCAGTAATGATGATGGTAGAGGGATTACTGCTGAATTTAGATCTGTATGATGGGAGTCTGAGGTTGGTGTCACATCTAGTCAGGATGTTGATAGTGAGCTGATTATCAGTGCACCCAAAACCAAAGTGTTGCCTTCTGCATTTGAGGGGAAATGCAGTGTCTTTTGGGGCCCTTGTGGCACAGTGGTCGTATCCCTACTTCCTGAGTTCAAGTCCTGCCTGCTTCAGAGGTGTTCTAATACATCTGAACAGGTTGAGTAAAATCTCTTTATGCAGAGTCTGAACGAAAGGTAACTATGCTTCATTGTCTATCCTCCTTGACTTGCTATTCACTCACTCGCAACGCAGTTGCTTTCTGATGCAATGTGAACACACTTTGAAGTTTATTACATTTTAGTTGCTGTGGGTGAGATGTGACACTTGACAGGATAAGCATCATTGTAAAACGAAAAAATGGGGTAGTATCTCAACGGATAAAATAAAAGCTCCCTTCCCTATAGATCAGTGCTGTTATGGCTTGGCACAAAAGCAAAGTCCTGAATGCTGGAAATCTGACCTACAAAAAAAGCTTGGCTGGTCTGGCAGGGTTTGCAGAGGGAGAGTAAATGATTCTGCTGCAGTTCCAGATTTGTTATTTTCTCCCTTCCCCCTTATTTACTTTAAAAAAAATTAATGTGAAGGAAGATAGGTTTGAAGTTACTGAACTTGATACAGGGAGCTAGTGCGACTTGGATAACTGTTGTGACTCTACTACTGTCAAATGTTTTGCTGCTGTTGTGTTCAATCATTTGTCGCTTCAACTGTTGAGTAGGATTTTGAATCTGGTTAGATTTAATAATCACTTATTTTTGGGTGGTGGTTGAGATAGAAAATAATTCCTGGAATACTCAAGACCATGTTGAGGTTCTGGGTTTTTTTACACTAACTGCAATATAGGTTGAGCTACTTTTTATTCTTGGTGTATCTGCTTCTGTTAGCTGAAATGAATCATTAACCTTTTTTACTCTTGTTTGACAGCTCTTCACTTGGCAGTTATGCACGGACGCCTGAATGTAGTGCGGGTCCTTCTAACCGAATGTAGTGTTGATGCTGAAGTCTTCAATCTGAGGTATGACCATTGAAAACTGAAGGAAGCTGATATCTAAAGTTTCCAGCTAACCTGTTCAGAGTGTCTGTATAAAATACATGTTTCAATGGTAATGGTATGTTGCCTGGTTTGCAACGAGAGATTGAAATGAAGACAAACTTTGGAATTACTGCTGGTATTAGTGATGAACCAGTTTCCATTTTTAACTAAGGTGTTGATCTAAATAAACAGCAGACAAATGTTCTGCAGAATCATTGCCAGCAATAAATGTTGAGGCTAATGCTAACATAAAGGCTGCTGGCTTCTGTGGCTACACTGAAATATAGTGACGGCTGGTGATGTTCTGATTTTTTTTTTTTCTCTTTTGCCCTGTTGTTCATAGGGGGCAGTCACCTATGCATGTCTTGGGACATTATGGGAAGGAAAATGCAGCAACTATCTTTGAGCTTTTCTTGGAATGTATGCCCGACTACCCACTGGATAAGCCAGATTCCGAAGGTAACACAGGTAAGCATTCAACTGGCAAAATCAGCTTCTCGGAAAAAGTAAGTCTTTTTTTAATCCATAGAGAATAGTGCTCCCTGCATTCTCTTTCAAGTCTGTGGTAATTGCTATGAGAGAGAGAGAGAGACTGCTTAATACAACTGATTCACCAGTTTAGAATTAGGAAAATTGTATCAAGCATTGTAATGACTGGTCTCTGATGCATGTTCCTCAACATGGAATGCGATTATGCTGGAGTTTTGGGGCAGAGATATCCAGGAGGTGGAAACCATGTCCCTAATCTGTTTATTGCAGATGGTGACAGCATAGGAAGTCTCCAAATCTGTTCAGCACCCCAGGAAGTGCATACAGATCAGCTGTTCAGGCACATATGTGCAGGGTGAAATCAATGAAGGAAAAGGATAGAATTTGGAAGAATCCTTTAACCAGAGCAGCAAACTGCTGTTTTCTAACTAGTCAAATGTTGGAACGTATACTGGAGGTTGCATGAATCTAGAGAGAAACAGAATGGAGTGAGTCCCATTTAGTGACTTTCTTCAGGGCCCCACACACCAGTTTCAGAGACCATATCCCCAATGCAGTGTTGTGTAAATATCCTGCACATGTCTCCTCTTCATCTTCCCCCAGCTCAAATACAGCATCATCTGCATCTTATTGTTCCAGTATGATTAACTGCTGTGGTATATCTCATTTGTTTTATGCAGTTTCTTTGAATGTGAGATGCACAAATAAATGCATGAAATCAAAACGGGAATAGGCCATTGAGTCTGTTGAGTGACTGGTCCATTTGATAAAACATTGCCTGTTAGTTTTAGATTTTTAATTTTTTTTTTTTAAATTTTGGATTTCCTTAGACTATCCTTTTTTATTGCTGTTTTTCATTCAGCAGCAATGCCAGAGAGACATGGTAGTTTAATGGTAATGTCCTCGAACAGTAATGTAGAAACACAAGCTAACACTCCGTGTCCAAATCTCTCAATGACAGCCGGTGGAATTTAAAATCAATTTATAAAATCTGGAATGTTTGTTTTTTGTTTTCTTTTTGAAGAAATCTGTCTTATTCGCTAATTAGGAAAGGAAATCTGACATTGGTTAACAATTTGTGAATGTGGATCCACAGTAATATCGCTGACTCTTTAGATGCCCACTGAAATGGCCTGGCATGCCACGCCACTCCATTCAAGGATCAATTAGGGATGTGTGATAACTAGTTACCAGTGATGTCTATATCCCATTGAACTTTTAAAAAATGAACAGATACCCTGTTCCACTAATACTTGATTTTTTGTGTGGACTGCTGCCTGTGAAGCAGTCCCCTTTCCTAAAACCACAAGTGTCTGAGAACCCTTTAAACAATCTAAGCATTAGATGGTGTGGAGTGAGGTATTGATCTGATTAAATGGTGGAAATGGAATCAAATATTGACCTTTGCACTCTTATGGAGGATATGCTTTGTGCCACCTTGCATTAAAACGCAAGCTAAAGTTAGATGTTTGCATTGGTAGTAGAAATTGCCCCTCAGAATTCTCGTATTGTGTTGTTGGTATTTCTGGTTAACATGTGACCTGCCTTCCTTGCAGTCCTGCTCTTGGCTTACATGAAGGGAAATGCCAATTTGTGTCGGGCCATTGTTCGAGCTGGAGCGCGTCTGGGAGTTAACAACAATCAGGGGACCAACATCTTTAATTACCAGGTGGCCACCAAGCAGCTACTCTTCCGGCTCCTAGGTAATGTTTAAAATCACCCCAATTAATTAACCAATCCCCTTTTACAGTAAAAAAAATTTACAGTAAAATTAAAAATAAACTAATAAATTGCACTTCTAACGTTCAATACATTCATGGACATTACCTTGTTTAATATTTAAATAGAGATTTAAGTAGTTCATTAAGTGTTCAAATTCCAATATTGCAATCGACATCTGAAATCATTATCAACAAACATATATCCTCTATTAAAGGAGGTGCAAGCAACATTTTATTGTTTATCATGTTGAGGCAGTCCAAATCTAGAGGCCATTGGTTTAAGGGGAGGAGGAAAGATTTTTAAAAAGTGGTAACTTTTCATGCAGTTGGTGCATGTATGGAACAAGCTGTCAGGAACTGGTGGAGGTGGGTACAATTACAACATTTAAAACGCATTTTGATGGCTACATGAATAGGAAGGTTTTACAGGGATGTGTGCTTAAATGCTGGCAAATGGAATGAGGTCCAATTGGGATGTCTGGTTGGTGTGGACAAGTTGGACTGAAGAGTCTGTTTCTATGCTGTATGACTCTGACTCTACAAACTGTGATTCCGGTCTTTGGGTGCCTTTTCTTGCCTTGTATGCCAGTGTAATACATACATTAGCTCAAACTGAATTTCTGCTCCAAAATGAGAGCAGGAACCTCAGCTGACCATTTGTTTTGGTTTAGGATGTATAAAATACAAGTATTTCAATTTAATTTGCTTTAAAATGTAGTCTTTCCCCAGTGTTCCTATTGTTGCTTGTGTGTTTTTTTTTTTTTTTTTTTTTTTTTGGAATGGGGTAGCTGTTTTGTGGATGGTGCAACTGATCACTTAGAATTTCACATTCTGGCAGTTAGCCCTGGGGTTCACAAAGGGAATAGAAACACCAAAGATAGGTGGAGGTTATTTGACTTCTCAAGCCTGCCCACACCATTCAATAGGATCATGGCTGATTATCACTCAATATCCTAATCCTGCCCTCTTCCCATATGCCTTCCCTTTAGCTACAAGATCTATATCTAATTGGAAAATGTTTTGGTCTCGACCACTTCTTTTTTTTTTTAGTGGCAGTAAATTCCACAGGCTTTCAACTCTGGTTGAAGAAATCCCTTCTCATCTCAGACCTAAAAAGTTTACCCCTATCCTTCAGCTATAACCCTGGTTCTGGACTCCCCTAATATCAGGAACATCCTTCCTGATCTAACCTGTGTAGTGCTGTTAGAATTTTATCGGTTTCTACCCCCCTACCTCTCATTCTTCGCTCCAGTGAGTACAATCTTAACCGACTCGATCTCTCCTTATGTCATCCTGCCATCCCAAGAATCAGTTTGTCTGCACTTTCTTGCCTGGACTGTAGGCATCTTTGTGTGTGAGAGTCAATTGGCTCCATATAATTTGAGGGGCATGATTCAGCAAGGTGAGGAGTAATATGTGTCCACCTGTTTGGCTGGTGGACTGGGGTGGGGTGGGGGGTGCTAGTGCTTACAGTTGAATTTGATCCATTCACCTCTCTGCATATATGCTTAAGGTGACAAATTGAAATCCCAACATGATTTTCTTTCTCCGTTTTCGCTTCTTCATCTTCCTTCGCACAAGAGCAGTTGTAGACATTACCCTAAGTCAATACAGTGTGGAGCTGGAGGAACCCAGCAGGTCAGGCAACATCAGAGGAGCAGGAGAGTCAATGTTTCGGGCCTAGAACTGATGAAGAAATGTCACCTCTCCTGTTCTGCTGCCTGACCTGCTGTATTCCTCCAGCTCCACGTTGTATTGACTCTGACTCCAGCATCTGCAGTTCTTGCTATCTCCTGAGATGTTGCCCTAATCCTTCTCTGGCTGAGATCAACCAGTTCTAAAACCTGGAATCTCCTTAAACTGTGTGTGGCTCAAGTGAGTCGATTGAGTTATTCTGGTTTCACTTTCAACACAAACATTGAAGACTTGATGGAAGGGGCTTGTGTTGTGCACTGGTAGTGTCCCTGTCTTTAGACTAAGAGGCCTGGGTTCAAGTCCCACCTGCTGACATGGTATGTAACAACATCAGAATGATTGATTTAAAAATATCTAAAGTCTTAATAGACCGAAAGGGTTTTCCAGAGTTATCTGGGTTAAGTAATGCTGTCTCATTGCAATAAAGATCCAACTCCTACATATCCCTACAACCAGAGATGGTGTACTTGTCTTGTACAGTGTCCTGCTTCAATGTAAATTAGTCATTCAGCCTGGATTGTACCTGCTCCCACACCCTGCTGGTAGGGAGCCAGTTATTCACTGTATCACTCAAACTGTTTGTGAGCTTGTATGGTAAAAAGCTTTACCATACATGTGTGAAGGAAGCCCTGATATTGTGTAAACTGTGTATTCTCCAGTCTTTGTTAAATCAGGCTCTTTACGTGCACAATGGAATGCTGGGCCTTCAGTGACGTTTCGGAGTATCTCTCTGGCCCCTTTCAATCGGGTGCGGTTTTCTTCCTGTCCTAAGATAACAGTGCGGAGCTGGAGGAAGACAGCAGGCCAGGCAGCATCAGAGGAGCAGGAAAGCTGACGTTTCGGATCGGGACCCTTCTTCAGAAAAGGGGGAGGGGAAGGGAGCTCTGAAATAAATAGAGGGGGTGGCAGTAATAGTAGGTGGGAGAGAAGACAGACAGGTCAAGGAGGCGGGGATGAAGCCAATAAAGCAGAGTGTATGTAGGAAGTGGGGGTAAGTGTTGGTCAGCGAGGAGGGAGGGGCGGATAGGGGGGAGAGAAGACGGACAAGTCAGGGAGGCGGGGATGAGAGGGACTGGTCTTGGGATGAGGTCAGAGGTGGGAAGATTTTTGAAGCTAGTAAAGTCCACCTTGAGACCAATGGATTGTAGAGTTCCAAGGCGGAATATGAGGTGCTGTTCCTCCAGTTTCCGGGTGGCATCGTCGTGGCACTGGAGGAGGCCCAGGATGGACATGTCATCCAGGGAGTGGGAGGGGAAGTTTGAAGTCATTCGCGACTGGGAGGTGTTGTTGTTTGTCACGAACAGAGTGTAGGTGTTCCACAAAGCGGTCTCTGCTTGGTTTCCCCGATGTGGATGGAGGCTACGTTGGGAACAGCAGATACAACAGACCACATTAGCGGATGTGCAGGTGAACATCTGTTTAATGTGGAAGGTTGTTTTTGGGGCCTTCTGCCTGAAGGCTCAAGCCTCAGTTTAATGTTTCTGTGCTACACCAGTGTTGCTGTTATGTATGTCTGTCTGTCTGTCTCACTATTTACCTTTCCTTCCCCTTTGCCCTCTGAAAGGAGGCTGGAGATTTCTTGTCGATGCATCACTGCATCTTGAGAATCTGATATGAGATATAAACAATTACTTCAGTGCATTTTATATTCAAGAGAAGTGATGGAGCAATAAAAATTATGCACTACATCCAAAATCCTTAATCATTGTTCTTTCAGACATGCTGTCCAAGGAGCCTCCATGGTGTGAGGGCTCAAATTGCTTTGAGTGCATTTCCAAGTTTGGAGTTACCATGCGGAAACACCATTGGTGAGTTATCTTGCATGACTTTTTTCAAAAAATTTCCATTGTATGCAGGTGTTGCTGACTGGGCCAGTATTCATTGCCTTTCCTTACTTGCCCTTGATCAATGTGTTTTGCATCCTAAAATGAAACGCAAGTATTTAAACTTAATTTTTAACTCCCCAAATAATGGAGGCTGATTTTCTCAGTTGGTTGAAAGGCCATTTTGCAATGTAGAGTGATGCCAACACTGTAGTTCAATTCCTGTACTAGCTGAGGTTGTCATGAAGCCCCCCTGAGTTAAACTTCTCAATCTCTCCCCTTGACTGGGGCATGATGACCCTCCGGTTAAACTCCCACCAGTTCTTGCTCTCGCCACTTGCAAAAACAGCCCTGTAGCATTAATTGGCCAAAAAGCCAGGCCTTCACCCTGTGACATTGCCCATAATCATCCCTCTGTTGTATCAATAAATCAAATCCTCTGGTCAGATATCTCATTGCTGTTTGTGGGAGCTTGCCATGCAATTTGGCTTCTGTTTCCTAAATTACAACTGTGACTACACATCAGTGTGCTTTATTGGCTGTAAGATTCCTTGGGAAAACCTAAAATTGAGAAAGGAGCTATACAAATGAGATTGTTAGGCAACTGCATCTGGAGAACATCCTTTTGCTGATTTTGTTTCTTTGACTTCATAATATGGAATTGATGCTAATCTGTTGAGGTTCGCTGGCAGGGTTCTGTGTAAGTTATTCCTCTCTAATCGGGCTCTAATGTGGGTTCTTCATACGAGCTCAGGCCAGATTTCCAGGTTACTGTTAAATGATTGTCGCACAGTACCTGATTGTAAAGATACAGAGCAGCATGCATTGAGCATTAGAGTGCACTACCTTAGCTGAACACATGTGATTATTGAGGTTACAGTAACACCACAGCTTACCTTCGCTTATCTACATGTTCATTAAAATCCTGTCTTTAAAGTTCCCATCTCAGTAATTGTTGTCATTGAGGCAGTGGGCTGTCCACTTCTGTTGTTTACTTCAGCTTTCTGAGTGTAGTCACTTTTTCTACAAAACTAAATGTCCCTGTTTATTTAATCCGTTAACAGGCTTAAAAGAACAAATGAGAACAAATTGCTGGAGACACTCGGCAAGTCGAGCACCATCTGTGGCGAGACCATAAGATCTAGGTGCAGAATTAGGATATTTGGCCCATTGAGTCCGCTCTACCATTCGATCATAGCTGCTGTGTTTCTCTACCCCATTCTCCTGCTTTCTCCCCATAATATTTGTTCCCCTTACTAATCAAGAACCTCTGTCTTAAATACACTCAACAACTTGGCCCCCACAGCCCCCTGTGGCAGTGAGTTCCACAGATTCACTACCCTCTGGCTGAAGAAATTCCTCCTCTCAGTTCTAAAGGGTTGTACCTTTACTCTGAAGCTGTGCCCCCGAGCGCTAGTACCTCCTATAGTGGAAACATCATCTCTATGTCCAATCTATTCAGGCCTCAAAATTTTAAGTTTCAATGTGATTTCGCACCCCTACCATCCTTCTAAACTTCAAGTATAGAGCTACTGTCCTCCATGCTCTTCATATGACAAGCCTTTTGTTTCTAGATTCATTCTTATAAACTACCTCTGGACCCCATCCAGGCTAGCATATCGTTACTTAAATGCAGGGTTCCAAAACTGCTCTCAATATTCTGAATGCAGTCTGACTGGAGCCTTTATACAGCCTTAGCAATACATCCCTGCTCTTGTACTGTAGCCCTTGTGAAATGAATGTTCAGATTCCATTTGCCTTCCTGACTGCGAACTGAGCCTGCATGTTAACCTCAAAATCTTCAACTATGTCCCCTAAGTCCCTTTTGTGCTTCAGATTTCCAAAGCCTTTCCCCCTTTCGAAAATAGTTTATGCCTCTTGCACCCAAAGTGCATAACCCCTCACTTTCCTTCATTGTATTTCATACATATTCCAGCACAATATTGTTTTCTTTCCACAGATGCTGCCAGACCTCCTGAGTTTCTGCAGCAGTTTCTGCTTTTTTTGTTTCCCATCTCTAGTATCTGCAGTCTTTCTTTTTTTTTATTAAAGTACAATTGAATTATTCTGTTCAATAAATGCTGTTTTAATGTTAAATGCAACTCCAAGAACACGTGCCAATAAAAGTCAGGAATGTGGATTAAAGCTACATATCGATGCAATGTTAAGAGAAATTACATCACTGTTTCCAGGAGCTGCAATCTGTGTTGATGCATTTCCTCTCTGTCCAACAGCCGCCATTGTGGACGACTACTCTGTCACAAGTGTTCGCAGAAAGAAATTCCCATCATCAAGTTTGATTTGAACAAGCCTGTGAGGGTGTGCGACATTTGCTTTGATGTGCTGACACTGGGTGGTGTTTCTTAGTATTTTGTTGGAGTTGCCATTGCAATTAGTGTTTTAGCAACACTACACAGAGCTTTTCCAGCAGTGGGGAAACTCAAATTGGACTGGCACCTTTCGAAGAGAAGCCCAAACACTTGAGGGACTGCATTACCTTACTCGGATTGAAATTATGCTGTTTGATTCTCTAATGTATTAATGGACGCTGACGTGAATGGGTGGATGTATAGCCACGTGAATCGATCAGAGTTGACTGCTGGTGCTTATGGCTGGGGTTAGGTTTGACCCTATTCTGATTAGGGTTGTGTGGTAGAAATATTCCAGACCTGGGGGCACTTCATGCTAACACTCTCTCCAGTTTCTGGTCTCATTTTGTACTTTCTTTTAATCCAGTTCATTAATCATAGATAACATTTTTTTTCCCATTCCCAACTCTATTCATAGGTTTTGTCCAATGTCAGCTTGATACAGCAAAAGATGTCAAAACTTGACACAATATAGACAGACTGGTTTGGGACTGAGGGTGAAGGCAAATAACAACTTGAGGGATTTGACTGTCTTTTCTTTCCTTATGTAGACTCTACCTGGTAACTGTGCCTCAGTTTGATTTGTCAAGTTTCTGATCTGCGTAGATCATCTGATCATAGATGACCGCAGCTGAATGTATGAATCCTTGGTTTGGATCTCTACAAGAACAAACTTAGTAACACTAATTTAGAACAATGTTTTATTACCGATAGATGTGTTTGTGCATTTAAAAAGGGAAGTGCTGCCTGTTTTGACCAAATGAATGGTCATGTACATGATAGAATATGGTCTCTTTTAAACTGGAATGAGAGAGCAAACTTTTTAAAAATCTTCATGTAGCCTTTGGCAATCTTGTTGTACAAACAGTACTTTACAGTGGCTTATGAACTTCCCAGTTTTAGTTCAGTTTTGCCTGAATGTCCATTGTATGGAGCAGTACATGCAGCACTAACTCAGTTTGCAACTTGTCCTAATGTCACTTAATGCTGATAATTGTGTTCCACCAGGCATCCGGGGGGTGGGGGGTGAAATGGCTACTGCTCACTGCAGGCCCTCTGGGGGAAACCAAAACAAGTTGGACCTCTTTCTTTAACTAGCTGGTGCTGGGCACGCACACAGGGTCTCTGTCTAAAATAGACTAGGAAGCCCTTTTTAGTTATGCTGTGTAAATAGATGTTCCTGGAGGGTAAAGTGTTAAATTTGGACCACAGTTCTAACTTGTGTTGTTACAATGGTTAAAGCACTATTCTAAGGATTGCCACTTGACAGTCGTCAAAATTGTGTGAAATATTTTCAGACTACCAATTCCTGTATTTTATGCATTTTGTACTGTGCTATATAATGCTTCAAGATATTTTGATAATGTTCTGCTTTATGGCATTGTATCTTGATCTGTTCAGGTATAAAGCCTGTTGCTGCAAGTGAATGTGTGACCAGCTGAAATTCTGCATTCACATCCACTGTATAATTCTGCACTGTACTGTGTGTATGTTATTGCTTGTTTCTGCTCCAGCGAATGGGATGAAGGCTAAATCCAACCTTTTTGGAAGAGTTTTTGTTTCTGTTCTTGGTCAAGGTCAGCAACTGTTGGATACACATTCCATTTATTCTGATGTTGGTGCATTTGTGAGCAGAGCCGAATAATGTAATGAAGCTGATCTGAATAAACTAAGATATTTGGCTAACAATGATTACTACTCTGAACCAAATGAGCTGTCAGAGGCCATTTGTGTGTTGTGTTGAGTGAACAATGTGCCGTTGGTGGATTTATTCCAAAGGGAAATTTAATCTCACTCTGGGCCAGATTTCAAGCCATTCTCCTTTTATATGTATTGTGACTGGGCCAGTGTTTTAGCGTCCTGTGAGCGAGTTGACTTTACAGCACCAACTCGCCTATCGTTATTTCCAGCTGGGATTTAGCAGCAGATAAATCAAGGGACGTTCAGTTCTTAGAGAGCCCCTGACAGTGCAGGTCATTTTTGACATCTGAATATTGTAAGAGATCATGTTTTTGTAGACCAACTGAGTTTCAAGTAGATCATTTTTCCAACTCACCCTGGCACTTTAGCAATTAACATTCATATATTTCGACTAACAACAATGAGAAACAATGTGAAGATGCTCATAGAGAGATCTCCTTTTGTCATTATATTTTTTAAATGTCTTAAATCTCATTCCAGCCAGCATTCCTTCCTTGATCTGTGTTGAAGATTAGTCAATCAAACTTTTCTTAAATTGTGATTACAGATTAGAGTAGCTTGTTTGGAATTGCTTTTAAAGCAGAATTTGAAAGGGCTGTGATTCTTTAGTCAGTAATGGTGTACGTGGTGGAATTAGTTTTCAGGCTGCTTTTATGCCATCTCCGGTCACATACCTGTTTACACCAGCAGGCAGACTTAATTATGATCCTGGAGGTCTGTAATTACTTGCGGGGAGTCAAGTTGCACCAAAAGCACCAACATCTTATGCCATCTCCTCTTGCTGCTGCCTGTGCAGTTGTATTTGAGTCTGTTTTCTGTGTAATGTGACTTTTAACCCATTGAGAGTTGTGTTGCTGGCATCTAGACATTGATGCTAGAACTTGGAAAATTTAGCACTTTTTGAATAAAACCACTTGGGTAAAATGTAGTTCAACAGCCTGATTTTTAAAAAAAAAAAAAAAAAAGAATTCAGTGAAACCTGTTTAGTTCTAGTAGCGAGCACTCAATGGGCTAAGATTCATTCCAGACCTTAACCCTATTTAATTATCCATTATTCAGTATTAGAATTATGTTTTAGTAATACCTAATTTTTTGCACTAACATGAACCTATTGCACAGAATTGTCTTTATAAGGTGTATGTATACTTGTTTATGGTGTATGTGGATAAGTCTGTACAGCAATGTCATTGAAGAGTACCCAAGATGTTGCTGGCAGTAATGCTTAGAGAAATGATGATCGATATAGTTTGGTAACAAACTGTGTACTTATACAGTTGCTAGGGTTAAAATCTGTAATGGACAGTAATAGCCAAAGGTGGATCACTCTCACATGAGGCTTAGGCCAGAGATGCATTATTTTAATGGCAGCAGCCTGTGCCCCTATGAAATGAGTGTATATTGGAAACCACTATATACCTAGGCAGCCGCAGTGAGGGATGTAGCTGTACTTATAAGACGGACATTACATTACATTACAATACAATGGTAAAATTTTGTGCTTGTGTGCGTGTGGTTCTTTTTTTTAGATCACACAGATGTCGAAACTCCTTAATACTTTTCTATTTGAAATTCTACATGATATCATGGAAGCTACAATTAGATTTCCCTTCCAGCATATGTGTGCAAGAACAGCAAGCATTTTTCATTCTTGCCAAGCACCTTTTTATATGAAGCTCATACCTGGCTGGTTGTCAGGTTGTGATGGTATCCCTGAGCCTAGGATCAGTGGATATCCTTCTCTTGGCTGATATGCAGTATGTTTGGCAACACTTTTCACAACTCTGAAACCTGGTATACAGATACATTAACCAACAATAAATCAAGACCAGTCGCCTGAATTGTTCTTGTGCAGCCTTGATGTGCTCAGATTGACTGTTTTCCTTTTGGTTGTTGGTTACACTTCAGGTCACTTAGTCATCAGGTGATTCGGATCAGACTGGTTCTTTTTTAGGTGCATCTCCAATAAGGGTGACTGGATATGCTTTCTCCTTTCCTGTAGCACTTGTTGGGAATTCAGCACTGACCTGTTTTCCAATAATCTTCACATTCCAAAGTACATCTTGTAGAACCTTTCCATTGGAATGGACTTCATGGGGAGCAGCACAGCGTCAGAGTAATGTGCTGATATCACATTAATCTACAAACCTACTGACCACAATCCCAATGTGAGCATTTCTCTTTGAAGGTGGTAGGGTTACCCCCTTGCTAGGTCATGCAAAGTTCACTAACCTTGTCACATGACTAGAAACAGCAGGTAGTTAAATGTAGTCCCAGTGTCTGCCCTTGGCAAACAGCAGTTTCATTTTTATAATTTTCGTGAACAAAATTTTGAAGTCTGATTGTCAACAGTGCTATTGGTCAGCATAGCTGGCTCACTGTTGGTTAAGACAGGGCTTCTTGATCCTGATGTCATTACAACCTTGACTCAAACATTCATCTCCACATATTGGTTCTTTTGTCAAAGTGACTGCCCTTGCTTAATGTGTATTTGACTAGTATGGCATTTAAGGAGGCTTACGTCAACTGGAGTTGATGGAAATTGCAGTGATTGGGGTTGGGGGCAGGGAGTGGTGGTGGAGGAGGGAGAAAGGGAAAAGAGACTCCCCACTGGTTGCAGTTATCCTTAGCACAAAGGAAGATGGTTGTGGTTACACACGCACACCATCTTTACTGTGAGGAACTCCTGTAGAGTCCTAGGCTCAACCAGCTTCAGCTGTGTCATTGACTTCCCTTCCAGCAAATGATCCCTGATGCTTAAGCAATGTTCCGTGCCATTTAGTCAGACTTGGATCGAGCGGTGGCAAATTAATGTTTACGCCACAGGAGTACCAAGCAAAGACCATTGCCGAATCAACCGCTCAACACCCTGGAGGTTACTATTGTCCAGAAACCGAACCATATAAGTACAGTGCCTGCAAAAGCAGGTCAGTGCCTAGGAATTTGGCAGTGACCAACTCCTCTTACTCTCCAAAGCCTGTTCACTGTCTCAGGTACAACTCAGCAGTGTGACTGAATACTTCCCCAGTGCCTGGCTGAATGCAGCTCCAACAACATCAAGAAGCCTGACAAAGCAGCCCACTTAATTGGCACTGATATGCTACCTTCAATGTTCACTGACTTCAGTGCTAAAGGTCATTATCAGCAGTGTATACCATCTACGACATTCCATGGTGTAACTCATTAAGGGTCATCTGATAGCACCTTTCAACTCTGTGACCTCCATCTGGAAGGACAAGAGCATCAGATACATGGAAACACCACCCTGAGCAGGTTTCCATCCAAACCACTCCCCATCCTGACCTGAAACTACGTCAGCCATTCCTCAGTGTCTCTGGGTCAAAATCTTGGAACTCTCTTGTTGATATACCTATATCCCAAGGACTGCAGTATGTCAAGAAGGCAGCTCACCACCACCTTCTTCAGGCCAATTAAGGACGGGCAATAAACGCTGACCCAGCCAGCAGTGCTGACGTCCCATGAACAAATATAAAAGAAAGTGCTGAATGACTGACGGACAGTTAAAGTTCCTTTTACCTTTCTGTAAGATCGATGGGGGAAGTATTAAATTAGTTTGTGCCATGCCTAATGCTGGATCTTGACATTTTTCATTGCTACTTGAATAAACCTTTCCCTGGCTCCTGTTGCTATGCATAGGGTACAATAATTGGCTGCTGTCTTTATGAACAGAACATCTGTTAATACTGGGAACACCTTTTTCCTCATTGATTTTTTACAGGTTGAAACTTCCTGTATTGTGAGACGGTGATTCCAGCTACGCATAGCTATGACACTGATGAAGGGTCTCTGGACCTGAAACGTTAACTCTGTTTTTTTCCTTCACAGATGCTGCCGGACCTGCTGAGCTTTTCCGGCAACTTTATTTTTGTTCCTGATTTACAGTAGCTGTAGTTCCTTTTTTTTATAAAGCTATGACACTGCTCTGGGGCAGGCACAACCTGGAGCTGGGCTTTGTGGCTCCAAGTTAGGGCTAGTACACTGTGTCACGGGAGCCCCATTCCAGCTCAGCGTTAGGGATAGTAACAGCCCCATTCCACCTGAACAAGGAGACAGTAACAGTGACTGTCCACACACGGATAACGGATACAAGCTTGGTTTTGGAGGGGGTGAAATCTGACTGCAGTGAGCCACACCAGCCCTGAAAAGAGGGAAACAGGCAGATTTATGACCAATTCCAGGACTAGTTTTCAAGTGAAGTATAATTCTAGAATTAATTTTGATAACTTGGAAATCAAAAGGTGCATGCTTAGACAGTAGGAGGTTAGTAGCAGAATGTTTATTCAGGACACTGGCACAGCAAATTATTAGAAAGCCAAGATCAATAGTCATACTATGGGACTGGTATCACATATGGGCCACTGCCACTGACCATAGCACATACACTTCCCTGATGGATGGGAGTGAGCCTTTTGGATTTTTACAAAAGTCTGGGACATTGTGTGGCCATTATTGCTGTGGTTAACCCATAGGTGACCAGCTTTATGGATTGTCCCAGATGGGATCGGATTGAGTGATTAGAAACCGATAAATCTGGACATTATTTCCTTCCCCCCCCCCACCCCACAAAAAAAATTAGCTTCACACTCATTTTCAATTATCCACCAAGTACATTTTCCATGGTCACATTTATCCTATTTTAATAATCGTTTATTGATTGAAAAAAATACAGTGGCTGTGCTTAATTCTAAAGACAATGCTGCAGTAGTGAGATATCGCAGATCCTGAAGTGGGGTCTGTGATCTGTCAGGCTATTTAGTTACATCTCTGGAAGGGCACACGAGTCGGAGAGGCTGTGGCATCCTGCGTATTCCTGGAGGCTGGGATTGTCAAGATCTCCCCTGTTTTGGACAGAATTGGGCTGGTTGGATGGGGGTCCAGTTGTCCTCACACAAACACAACGATGGCTCTTTGATCCGGGTCTGTATAGTTTGCGTGGGAGTCCTGCCCAATCCCTTTCTACTCCTCCACTGGAAACACAATAAAAATCACATTTATTCACATGTTTTGTCAATTTTGTTTTATTTTCTATTTCTGTGCCTAACTCACTGGATGAAGAGGCTGGCGGGAGTTATCACTGACCCTGTCACTCATTCTCAACCTCCAGGCTGAGGCAGGAGACGCTATCTGACCTGGTTCTTCATTCATTTGTTTCTCCCCCCTTTTTCCTCACATGTGCCTCACTTTCAAGGTGACTTTGTACTGTACAGTACTTTGGAGGACTTACTTTCATAAAGGAGAAATTGTGGAGTTTGTTCACACTGGGCTGACTGTGGAGAAGCCATGAGAATAGTGTCTTGGTATGTGACCAAAATGCCTGGGCAGGTTTGATTATGGTGTCCTCCATCCCAATCGCTGTCGCTTGAATCAGAGCAGATTTTTTTGTGCTTCTGCAGCTAATGGTCCAGCTATTACGCATAAATAACTAATAAAAATCACTCAGGCTGTAGTTTGTACTCTTGGTCTTCAGGCAGTGACTGCTGTATAGCCATTCACCAAATGAACTCAGGAAATTGTTAGTACCCCACAATCAAATCATCTCTCTCTACCTATGCACGTGGACTCCGAACTTGGATGGGCAGAACTGGATGGTCAGACATAGCAGAGACACTGCCTTCAGGACAGAAGAGGCATTGGAGAGGGAAGAAAGTGATTTAAAAGCAACACAACAAACCTGTGAGGTGAACACCAGACTCTGCCACCTTTGGCTGAGCTCCATTCAGAGTTGCAGGGAGGAAAGAGATTGTTTTCTAACTCGGATTCTGCCTTCAGCTTTTTTCCCTGCGTCACAGCCAACTCCACATTGGACAGCACTTGGGTCGGTTCACCGTTGTGGTCGTAATATGTTCCAATTAATTTGCCTTGCAAGAAGCAAAGGTAAAACACGCCTGAGATTTGGAAAAACCTTGCAATTTGAGAGAGATACTAAGGTTTAAACTAAGACTCAGACAGTTAACAAACTCAACTTGCAAAACTAAACTAGCACACAAATTATACAAAGAAAAAAGTTGTGTTCTAAAGTATGCAGCTTGGTGTAAAGATACCTCTTACAGACACAATGGATTTAATGTCTGAGACAACAAGGTGCAGGGCTGGATGAACACAGCAGGCCAAGCAGCA